GTCATACGAAGAGATCCGTAGACCAATAATCATCGAAAAAACAAAAACACAACCCCCCAAACACCTCCGAAACACCTTACACACCTTCCAAACACCTTACAGACGCCTTACAATCTCCCAAATATAAACATTCCTCGTTATAGATAACCCCGGAGCCATTACTCATCTCAGAGCCCCCAAGTCTTGGGGTAGCATTTGGCAGACCGAGACTTTAGATGAGAGTGTAATTCCCGTTGCTCAGTTCGAGGAGGTGCCTGATCAAGAAGCCCCCATACTCGTAGGGTCAAGGCAATAAAATGGCGTCTATCAGAAGGAGATGGATGGTAACCACCTTACAGAAGGAATAGGCCTGTATTAACGAGACACAAAGTGAATTCGAGAACATCGAGAATAAAGTCATTTTCATTCTGATGTATTGGATGATATGATAGATCGATCCAAGAAAGTATACTCGAGAACAAGTCTGGTTCTCATTGAGGTATAAAACATATGTGTTTAGGTTCGAGGGATAGTCAACCCATTATTCATGAACATGAAAATTTAGGCATTTCTCAATACCGGATGTCGAGTATACAACTTATGAATAATTTGTAAAGCGCTTATAATGGCTGGATGTTAAGTACACGGCTCTTTTGCAGGCGATCCTGAAGAGGATACCTTTGTACAGACGATTCTGAAGAGAATGTCTTTTTAAGGATGATCCTGAAGAGGATATCCTCGAGAAAACTGGGTACCAGTTGCTCGAATATAGACGATTCTGAAGAGAATGTCTTTTTAAGGATGATCTTGAAGAGGATATCCTCGAGGAAACTGGATCAAAGTTCCTCGAATACAGTCGATTCTGAAGAGAACTTCAGAATGTCTCTTTGCGGACGATCCTGAAGAGGATATCCGTTCAAGTGACTAGTCATATTTAACTGGGTGTAACTAGGTAGAGGTGATACGCCAGCTCCCATGAGTAATCAAGTGGGCTACCACTATGTGCATTAGACTGATATTCTATATCTCGGTTTTAAAGTATAAATTCCCTAAGGTCAGAGCGAACTTGCTGTTGCTGCTATCCTCGAGGAATCAGCTGCGAGAGTTACATATCTCTGCTTATTTTGCCCTAGAGTTCTCGGGTATGTTCATCCTGCAACTTAGTCCCAGACATGTATCGCAGGTATAATAATGATATGTTTATGAAAATAAGCTCATAAAAGGCTCTCAGACCTTGATAATGTATATATTGGCTCCTCAATCGAGGATGTATAGGTGAAGGGATCATTCGAGTGTACCTTAGTTTCGAGGAAGTATTCCCCTAAACTCTTCGATAATAACTACCAAGGAGACATTAATCTGATGGTGATGCTTCTCGAGCATAGACACCATGATCAACCAACCTGGTCTCTGATCCTGACAAAACACCTACTCATTCACTTGTAGATTTATTAGTGAGTAATAAATTATCATAGCACGAGAAATGGCGTGTGAATACAATATACTATTGAGGGACTCTCCCCCCTTGGAAAACAGCCATTTTGAGATATAAAATGTAAGAAGCGGAAAGATCTCACCATGAGATATGAGCAAGGCTATTGAAGCCATGGTTTGGTTAGCTCACAACAGCTATGAGAGAATGTTGCAGAGATCGTGAAACGCTTCTCCACGGATTTGTGCTTACTACGGACCCCTAAAGAGTTATAGCGATTTGACATGGAACTGGACCATCAGATGTGAAAGTCATTGTGGTTTCAAGATAGCCGCCTCAAATTAGTTGCTCGGTAGAGTATGACATAACGATCCGTTGCGACCCCCTCTTCGAGAAAGGAATCCATCCTGCACTATGACCTTTAGAGCATATTACCGACAACTATAAGTACGAGAGGGGTATCTATCCCCTTTCAAAAGAAAATGAACATGACTTGGTTATTGACTTTAAGATTGGTCGGAACATTTATGCATGGAGAGTAAACAAAGTCATGTATATGTAAAAGATATAACGTTATGCTTCATTACTAATGTGCCATGAGGCAAGTAATTGGTAAGTAAATCATGCATCTGAGAAAGACTTTTCGTGCAGAAGTTTGCATGCTAAAGTTCGAGGATACTGAAAGGGATCAAGAAACACATGTGTCTAATGTGTCATAATAAGAACAATTATTCCATGCTCATGAACTATCGGAACATTCATGTTATAATGCAGATGTTCATATGTTCAGGCAATAATATCATAAGTAGATCGTATCACTTATCTGTCGGCATTCTTCTAGGAGTATCCGCAAGAGCGGCAATGCCCATTTGACGAGAAGCTCCTCATTGTTGTCAACGGAGCTCGTTCGTGACACGTGCTCTGTATTGATCCTTTATTTGTTCGAGGCTACTGTGGCCTGAATATACTCCTGTGTCATAGAGGGACTATCTTCATTCTCGATTTTTTGCAAGTTCTGCAAAAATATAAAGAAGTTCTCCCAAAAATCGAGCATGCTTTTGCGATAGAATGCCCTGCATAACTATTCCCAAGATCATACAGTAACACTTTTCGAGAAATATGGAGGCGATTGACATAATGTGCTATGGTCAAGATCTAGATCGCAAATAACAATTATGCTCCACTCGAAAAGACATGGATGCGTGTGAGAGCTAGGTAATGACTGATCAGAAATGTAATGATACTAAAACTAGCGGATTCACACATTGCATGAATGGAGAATATGTTAACATCTAACTCAGTCGATTATTCCCTAGGTCCAGGGTTTTTAGCAAACATTTGGTTTATAGTCTATGTGATTTAAGATATTAAATCATCCACTGATATACTATTTATTCAAATGATATGCTATTTATTCAAGGAGATAATAGCCAACAAACATGTAAATGCCAAGGAGATAATAACACTTATCTCCCTTTTCGAGCAGGTCATTGCCACTTGGAATGGGTTGCTTTGTGGTTCGAGAAGGATGCTCCTCGAATTGTCTAGTTGTAAGACTTGCAAAACCATGTAGTACAACTGCACCAAGCTCGGGCAAATTATTGTAACTGTACACATTTCATTAGATCCTCGCAAGGGAGGCGCTCTCTTTTCAAACCAGTCGAGGAGATTGTCTCTACCCTTGTCATAGGGCCGATCTACGTGATCACGACTGTATATGCCCTCGGTCCCTCAAAAAATCGAGCTATGCTTGCATAGCTCTGTTTCACGTTCCAAGGATGTCTTCTCTTTTGAGGAGATGTATTCTGTAAAGTTAGGACTTATCTGAGGGTGAATTTCATCCGACTGACTCTTTTGTCCTTTTACGGTCCGGGGTCTACTCTGCGCAATCAGAAGCTTTAATGTCAAAATATAAATAATAAAATCATTAGGAACCATTCTGTAATTTTTCGAGAATTTTAAGATCCTTATTGAGCAGATGCGTAAAATTATGCGACTGCTTAGATTGTTGTCGTATTTGAAGGCTCCATAGCCTTCGCCGTTTAGTTTGACGAGGTGGCGCAGTTCGTCAAACCAAACTTAGTAGATAGTAGTTCCCTGGGTAATGGCAAGGTATCCTTGAAACGAGAATGTTGTGGTCGAATAGCAAGATATTCTCTTCTCGGACACTCTGAGTAATGGTGTCGCACTAGGTTGCCCCCTCGAGAAGATTGTAAATTTGATCAACTTGTCAGATGGTCGGCTCTTTGTTGGGTCTGTAGCACCATGCACCTTCTCGGCAATACGGGGCAACAGGAGCTCTGTTTCAAGCTTTGAACTGTGCTGGACGCCATAAAAGAAGACGTTGAATTCTGGATCCCGCTTCGTCAGAAAAAATTATTTTAGGGTGAAGAACCCTAGAGGTCCCACTGGGCGTGCCACTTGACGAAGCATGGATTTGCGTCGACGTCTCCAGTTGGTTGAACCGACGGCCATTGCGGAGTCAAAAATCCTAAAATTGCAAAAGAGGGCCTCGGGGTCTCTTGAGGGTAGACACTCTGATGCTTAAGTCAGTAAGAGTAGTTGTTAATAGGGTATGGATTGTGGTGCGTAGAGCGTACCTTCAACCGTGAAGGGTTGATCTCTATTTATAGAGCTACGTTATGGAACCCTTTCTTGATAGAAAAGTAATTAAGAACTGACCTAGAATCTTCCAAAGGCCAGTTGGACCTTTCACCGAACTTGGGTCGGCTTAGTCGCGTGCCGTACTAATTTGGACTCGTCAATTTACTTTAATGATATTTACATATCTGGTAATAAATTATGGTCCTTATCTTATTTATAAATTTTTTTTTAAACAAAACTCAACACACAGTGAAGAATGTGGCCTGCTTTTTCTGCAAAAATTTGAGTAATTTCCAAGAACATGTATACTTTCATGTTACACTCTACAATGAAAGTTGTTTCAACTTCTCCAGTTACCCACCATTGTGGTTGCCCAAAAGCTTTATAAATTCTTTGGTTCTTTTCTTTTCTCCAGAAAAATCTCTATCATATAATTGTCCCTTCAATTTTGTATCTTCTAGAAGGATTGTCTTTGGCAATACCGCTTGTTCCTTTTCCTCTCTGGCACAATTATTCCAATCTCTCCCTTCTTTCTTTTTTCTTTTTTTTTTTTTTTTTTTTTGGACATTTTTGTAGTGTTTTTGATCATGCATCCTGGAGCTACTAACGTCCTCCAACAATTCTGAACTATACTCAATGATTACTCATACTCGGACAAAACCATGTAACTATAGCTCTTTTCTTTCTTTTTTTTCCTCCTACTTTTCTAGCAATTTCACCAGAAATGGATACATCTGCAATTTAAGGTTTTTTTTTTTTTAATCTTTCTCATATCTTGTTTATAAAATTTGGGATATAATACCATGACTGGAGTCTGGACTCTGGAGGGAAACGGGTTAGTCAAAGACTTATGTAAAACAAATATTACTCCCTCCGGTCATATATAAAGTATTTTGTTTTGTCTTATGTTTCGTATAATACTAATTTTTAATTAACAAAAAAATTTTAAAAATATTTTATAACAATTAAGAAAATACAACAAATATAAAAATATAATTTTAATATTCTTTTGTCAATTAAAAATATGTATTATATGAAAACTAGAACAAATCAAAATACTCTGCTGAAGTAAGAAGAAGAAGCAAACAAACAGAAGATGGTGGGGGCAAAAGTATCATCAGTACATTATACTACTACTATTAAAAGAAAAAATCAGTACTCCAGTCCAACGGAAAAACAGTTGACTTTCAATTGCCCTTTTTGCTGCAACACATCCTGAATCAACAAGGTTGTATTAACGTACGAAGAACCGCCTTCTTCAATTGCCCTTTTCGCCTTCTCACTCAGTTCCCTCGCCGTCTTTCTTATGGCTTCACCTTCTTCACCGTCATCCATCAACTCATTAACGGCAGCTGCAATCTTCTCACCCTTCACCAAATAATCCTTATTTTCTTCTTCCCCAAATTTCATTCCCTCTTTCACTCCAACCCTCACCCCAATCCTCAGAACATTCACCACAAATTTCTCATTGTAAAACTGCTCCGCAAACATAGGCCAAGTGATCATTGGCACCCCAGCACAAATCCCTTCCATGGTAGAATTCCATCCACAGTGAGTCAAGAATCCTCCAATTGCAGAATGGGACAAGATTAATACCTGCGGTGCCCACCCTTTGATGACGATTCCTTTAATCCTTTCCTCATATTTATCTTCTTTCAACCATTTGTCCACTTCTCGGGAGTAATCTGAATCTCTGATAATCCAAATAAACGGTCGATTTGAGGCTTCTAATCCCCGGCCGATTTCTTTCAATTGGGTCGGTGTTAAACGACAAAGGCTTCCGAAACAAGTGTAAATAACGGATCTGGGTTCTTTAGAATCAAGCCATTTAAGGCAGTAATTCTCATCTACTGCAGTTTTGTTACCCCTTCCAATCTTCTCTTCCATCTCTCTGTGGCTCAAACAAACAGGACCAATGCACCAAAAGTTTTTGTAGATTTTTTTGTGGTGTTCCACGTACCATGGATCGAGTTCCTCGAAACTATTGATCAAATATCCTCTGGCTTGACTTTCAACCTGTTTCATATGTTCGAGGACGGATTTCAAGTCGTCTGAATTCTTCCTCATCGATTCCGGCAACTGGGATTTTGTGAATTCGATTCTGTGTGGAGTGTCCGGTAGAAAAAACGTGTCCGAATCCGAACTGACTTCCTCGTGAACCTTAGTCTTGGATAAAATGTCAGAACAGAGCAGAGTGAAACAGGACACTGTGTGGAAAACATACCTCGGGATGGATAAATTCTGGGCAAGTGATTGTGTCCACGGCAGAGCACTAGTGGAAACAATACAACTCGGTTTTGGTACCAATTTTTTGGCAAGAATTTCAATCGGGTCTTGTAGCAGAGAACATGCGTCAAAGAAATGCCGGGCTAAATTTGGTGAAGGCAGAGCATCCATATTCTCGCATCCTTCGGGTAACCCACATTCTTTACCCGGGAATTCGATGGGAATCAATTGGATTTTGAGATTGGATCTGGAAGCATGATCAACGATGGATTTGTACCTTATAGCATTCAGTGGGGTGGTAATGATTGAAACTACAGGGCCTTGCCTTGCTAATAGCTTGGCGAAATCAGTCAAGGGAATGATATGGCTTTGTGACATGAGAGGAATTAGGAGGAAATGAAGCTGTTCAACTTCTGCTGAAGCCTTGGCCATGGCAAGGATTGATTTTTTTTTTCTGAGAGAAGAAATGATTACTTGAATTATTGTGTTCTTGAAGATAAACAAAGTTCACAAAATTCAGAACTGAATGAAGTGTACATATATACTACTGGTGGAGGAGGATGAATTAACAAACGTGACATACAGTGGATAGTGATAACCGAAAATTTTAAGTAAGAAATTAAATTCTTTTTTAAAAAAATGTATCTCAGGATTAATAACCAATCTTAAATTTCCATCCAGATTTGTTTTCTAGAAACGCTTCTTCAATTTTATCGCGAAGTGCGAATTCTCTTCCAAAGTGTTCTAGAAAATATATCTTTGATTCTTCAAAAAAAAAAAAACTAAATTATCACCATAGTAATTTAAATTATAAACAAGTAGTAATAACTTACTTACCTGCCAAATTATTGATGATGTAAGTATGAATTATGAATGCAAAAGTATGTGTTGATAGAAAGATAATTGATCATATCGAGTTAAGTATGCACTTATAACACAAGGTTTTTTGTAGGAGTAAATTATAAGCTTAACAAGAAGACCGGTTTTCTATGGCTTTGGATTGCAGTCGTGCTAAGGGGAGTATTATTGGTATTGTGTTAGTAACAATACAATTTAATGACAATTGTGTTGGTATTATCGGATTGTTCAAAAATAATATTAATGATACAAATTACAACAATGCACTTTTTAATGACAATGTACTTTTTTGTTTTAAGTGCATTTGAAATAATTTTCAATATTTGAAATCATCCAATGTAATTTTATTGTTCATCTTTTTCGTTTTATAAATTTATGTCTTTATATCTTTTAAAAGCATTATTCTAATTTTTCATATTGATCCCTCTAAATATTTCTACCGATATCATATTTTTTAGACGCTCCAATTCTTTCATTATTTATTTATATATACCTTTTGCAATCTTTTTTGGAAGTTTGTTCGTATTTTTTTCCTATGGTATAGTGTTTACTTCCTTTTTTTTTTTTTTGCTTGCATATTCTTCGTCTTTTTCTCAAAATTTGATAACCTCTCTTTCAAGCTTTATTTCTTGAAAAAGAAATTTATAATTATTTTATTTTTTACTATTATCTCACTTTTTTTTCTTATTCTCTACATAAGTTTTTCCTTCATATAATTATTTTTAATTTCTCAATATCCTATTCTTATTGTTTTTCTCTCAAGAATCATTTTATTCTTTTTCTCATTTTGAAAATTTTTCCCCATTAATATTAACATTTATTAGTAATCATACGTTTATATATTTTATTTTACCATCATAACGTTAACTTTTTTTACCATTACATCATATAGAAAAAATATAATGAATGTATTCTATTATTACATTAATTTATTTGTCATCATTTGTTATATTAATTTTATAATATATATTATATTATATAAAAGTTAGTATAATATTATATTATATTATTAAAAGTTTGAACGATAAATATATAATTATATTTTTTGTATTATTAGTATTTTTTTTCTTTTGTAATTGTACGCGACATAATAATAATCATTTATTAGCATTACCCGTTAAAGGATAGTGACGAGTCCGTATCCATCACCGAGACTGGACCGGCCCACCAACCGTAGGAAGAGTCCAACCGGAACTCTTAGGGCGGTGTAAGTTCCTGAAACCTAGTTGGATTCGGGAATTGCCCAGGTAATCTCATACCTATAAATAGGGTAGCTCATACCACAATTCAGGTACGCAATATATAACCAAACAAACTACCTTCCTAAATTTTCTAGCAATCCTTTTACTGACTTAAGTATCGGAGTGTCTACCCTCGGGAGACCCCGAGACCCTGTTTTGCAGGAAATCCTAACCGGAGTTCCACCGTTAAACCGGCGACGCATATTCAAGCATCGTCAGATAGAAAGTATATTTTCATTAAAAGAATTTACTATCGAAGTACCACCAACTGAAATAAAAATCAAAGCATTAACCAATAAAAACAAAAAAGGGTCTAATTAATGGTTTCACTTTAAACGTAACTATAAAAATCAATATTGATCGGTGAATTTATTTTTCTCGTCATAATCTTTGGTTTTATTGGTTTTAGTAGCCATAAAAAAAATAAGGCGAAAAGTTTACGAAAAGTGTATTTTAATCAACAAAGTGTTCATATATTTATAGGGAAAAATTTTGGCAGATTAGAATTTACACGTGTAATTGGAGTGATGTTAAATTTTTTTTACATGAACATAACGTAAATTTAGTTAACCCTAAACCCTTTTGTATACATTATATGCATTGTATACATTATTATACATTGAACGCGTGTTGTACATTATTATTATCTTACTTTTTTTTTTCTTTTTGTTGTTATATTTTATTTTTTTCCTTTTTGTAATTTTACACAAGGTAATCAAGTGATCAACGCATAAAGATATAAAGATATCTTTATGATCTCATAGTTAATTTAGTTTTATCTATAGATTTATAATTTTATATTAAAAAATTATTATTAAATGATGGAGTGATGTAATTGTGACATATGAAATTTGTTATCTAATTTTTCGCCATGTGGAGATTAATGACATTATTGGGGCTTTGTTATCTAACGTGCGGGGACTATGTGGGGATTAATGGAGGCATCATTCGAGGAGTTCGCGAGTTGATGGCCCGCGAGTGGGAGGTTTGTGTTCAACACAAGTTAACCGAAGCAAATTTTGTAGTGAATTATTTGGTTTCTTGGGTGACAGATGGACCGGGTGATTTGTTTTAGCTTGAATATCCTTCACCAGGAGTCAAACCATGGTTAGAACATGACATTATTGGGGTATCATATCCTATAGGATTGTAATGATTTAGTACTTTCAGGCTTTTGTCTCCTTTTCTATACCAAAAAAGTAACAGTACAATTTAAAGTATAAAACATAAATTATTTCTTCCGTAAAAAAAAGGAAAATAGCATTATTCATTAATTGAATGAATTATTTGAAAATGGCCCTAGTTGAAATTTGAAAATGGTCCTAGAGAAAATAACAGCTTCGGGGCTGGGGCATATGAGCAAATGGAAATTTGAGAAATGGAGACCACAAGACGCCCTTGGTTACAAATAATACATGAGTTATTCTTGCATTCTAACAGCTGTCCAATTTAAATTTTTAATTTAAGAATTCTATTTCATTAAATTTCAAAATGGAAGGATTAACAATAAACATACAGGTCAAACCATAGTGTTCTTTGCAAACATCTATAACTACATTTGATTTGTTTAGATAATCGTACAATTCCAGTAATCTAAGATAGAATATTATAATTTGTGATAATGCATCCTCCTATCTAATAATGACAAGAGGCTGTCGCGTGATTGAAAGAAACCGCCTGACTAAATCCTAATTGCTAATCAGACAACTATGATTCAAATCAGTTTAATCAGTAGTATATTAAGTGCATTTTATACGCCATTACATAATACTTTAATATTGATTCCACGTATCATTAATCCTCTTAAATTAGTACTTGGAAAAAATCATTTTACTTTGAAATTGTCTAGATGCTGACCAAAATAAAAAGGACAGAATGTTAAATACTACTTACTGTAAATGTTTTTTCTTTTTCTTTCCTTTTTTTTTTTTTTGAAGAAGAAGAAGATAGCGTTCATTTTACTGCTTTTGAGTTTTGAATGTACAGTATGTAGAACTTGATGAGCAACTATAATATTATTCAATCAAGTCAATACAAAAATAATGGAATAGCCTTTTTGTTTGAGTGGTTTTTTTTAAGATAACGATTGAGGGCGACTTTCGACGAAAAAAAAAAAGGTTCGCAAGTTATTATTCAATCAAGTCAATACAAAAATAATGGAATAGCCTTTTTGTTTGAGTGGTTTTTTTTAAGGTAACGATTGAGGGCGACTTTCGACGAAAAAAAAAAAGGTTCGCAAGTTATCAAGATCTTGAGAGATCCTCTTTATCAATTAGACCTAAATGTTGATTTTTTTGATAATTAAGTTGAGGTCTCTAGTGTTATTTTGTTAGGGTTATGGTTCTTTTCCTGGTTTTGGGGGAAGCTTCTTTTATTATGTCAGGGTTTTTTAATCTTGTGCACCTTTCAGAAAAAATAATCATCTCGATTAAACAAAAAAATTATTACTACGATCATGAGTTTTCTTTTTTGAACGAAATATGTACTTGCATAATTGCGGGAATACAGTGCAAGATATTCTCCGTCTCCAAATAATTGCCTAGTTCTTTTAATTAAAAATAAAAAGTTTACTTTAGATGATAATTTCATGACGATGGAGGGAATATTAACTTTAATTACTTTGGTCTTGCATGATGATTTACTCCATGAAAAGAAATTCTTACAGATCAACCTTATCGTCCCATTACTGGACTAAGTTGGATAGTGCAAACTGCTACCGCCTATCAACCTTTGGGACATAGAGGTTTAGGCCATGTGATTGTATATAATAACACTGCGGCTAAGTAGATACACATAACAATATCAATTTTATATAATAGACCATGGTTCATCTTGCAATGTGAACTTAAGTGTGTAGGTATGCGCTTGTTATTCCTATATTCTAAGAAATAAAATAGAGAACTGGGATAAGATTTTAAAGAGAATCTTTTCTCTAATTCAAACTCTATTTTTCATAGTAATTAATATATATCCATCAAAATATCAAATATTTAACTTTTCTCGTCTTCCACCTTGCTCTCGAGAATCTGTCTCATCTAGAAAAAAAAAATCCCATTGTCAAAAAAAATCGCTAGAATTCATCACAATCAAGAATCCCCGTTGCTGGCATCGTCAAATTAATCAATTGAGAATAGAAGAAAAAAAAGGTTTTTTTCCCATTATTGTTTCAATCGGTGGCTATAAGCTAGTAGCAGTTAATTTCTCATGAATCTATCTTCGGTCGGCGATGAATATTTTTCTTTGATGGTTTGAGTTATTATTTATACAATCTTTCTATTGATATTTTTGAAGTTCATACTTAATGATGTTGTCATTGCCTCAATCACTCTTCTTGATGTTGTTATGCGAAAATAATGAAAGAAAGCAAGAAAATGTTCTCTCTTTTCTTTTTCCATTTTTATTGAATCAAGGAGGATCTATTTGTATTTGTGGCATTTTTTGGAAAATAGTATTGTGGTTTAATATTTCAATACACTTATACACACTTTTTTTTTCTTTTTTCTTTTTTTCCTTTTGTTTTAGTTTAATTATATGTTCAATCTTGACACCTAACTTTAATTGATAGTTTGAAGTTCATACATGCTAACTAAATATTCATAATATGATTAGATTTTGTTCATAATTTTGTTTTAATGAATTCCTCTATCATGATACCAATATTTAAATTGATATCTTAAAGTTCATATATTTTGTGAATACTGTTTATACTATGATCACTTTTTGTTCATGATTTTTCCCTTTTATGAGGATGTATTTTCTGAAATTAATTTCTTGGTTCAGGAGAATTAAGGACCCCTTATTGCTGAAATTTTAAATACGTTAGAAATTTTTTCCTTTTCACACTCTCTCTCTCTCTCTCTCTCTCTCTCTCTCTCTCTCTCTTTTTTTTTCTGAATGCTTTTTCATTCATGTGTTCAACTGTTGCTCACAATTTCTTAGATTTTGCTTTTTAATTCATGTGTTCAACTGTTGATCACAATTTCTTAGATTTTTTTTTATGTACTGTAATTGATTATTGCCCCATAGAATATTTAGAAATGTTTTTACCTCTGATGCTTTTGTAATATTTAGAGTTGATATGTACATATTTTCATAAAAATTTGACTAATAGGTTTGTTAATTAAGGCCTTTTTTATGAAAAAAAATAATTATAAAAACCTATAGTTTGTTTTAATACTTGAGAAAACGGAATCTTTGTCTAATGATGAATATAATTGGTTTTTGCTATCGATTTTTTAATGTATTCTCAGTTTTTATTCTAAATGTCAATCGATAGTCTCATGTTCATACATTTTTGTGAAAATTTTCATATATTATTTTGTTAATGTTCATAATATTATTAAAATGTCATATTAATGTTGCATATTTAATTTTTCCATTGCGTTCATACATTAACAACGTTATTTTCATTCATTAATAACCTTATGTTCATACATGATCATTAATTGAACAAGTTCCTTATGCATTTCTTGTTTACTTATGTTTAAAGTTTATTAGATGTTTATATTTATTAATTTCTAGCAATATTCATACATTGATCGACATGCTAATATTTTACAAGATCAACATTCATACTTGTCTCTTAAATTCTTCATATAAATGATTGTAGATGTTTATAATAATTTTCAAATAAGCTGGATTGAAGAGGTGTTGCTCCGATTCCAGTAGACGGTATTAATCGTGGTGGAGGTGATGGCTGAGAAGATGGATTTGTTCGAATTTTAAATTAGAGAATTGAAGGGCACTGAAGATGACGAGAGTGAATATTTAAGTGTTTTGATTAGATAAATATTGATAAAAATAAGATTTAAGATAATTATAAAAAAAAAATCATTTGTTTGTTGGGAGAGTGAATAACATCTCCCTTTTTGACTCACATTACAAGATGGACCATGGTCCATGATATAATTTGCCTAACAATATTAATCAAGAAAAAAATAAATAAATTAAGAGTGCGCATACATTGGAAGAACATTGCTGTGACAAACAATAAGTACTTGCTCGATGTAAATGTACTGGCCAACTACATAACACATGACAAAGTTCAAATCTTGATATAAGCATGCAACCGTAGGTGAAACGTGTGCTAACTGCTAAGGGAGTTTCTCCCCTCTTAAAGATAAACATTTACGATTCGGTCCATATTAGTATAAGCAAATACTTGAGAATTGAGGTAGAATTATATAGTTTTGGCAATAGTTCCAGACCCCCAATACAAATAATAAAACAATAACAAATCTTTTTCCTACTAGATAAGATCGGTTATATAGATCATATGTCGTCGTGCTCGGTCGGTACATAAATTATCAGTCAAATATGTATCAAACCAAAAAAATCTCTTTCACACTGTTTAAGGCCGAAACATATCTTGCTTGTTTGAAAAGGTTATGGTACTTAATAAGCAACGCAGTTACGCAAGAATTGCAGATTTATGCTCCTTTGGCCGGTTGTTCATTGCTTCTTGATAACTGCATTACTTCATGTATTAGCAGTGAGACGTTAAGATAAGAAGATCCTCCTTCCTTAACAGCATTTCTCCCCATTTCTGCAAGTTCTTTCACCTTCTTTCTTATTTGATTCGCATCTACATTATCCTTGTCCATCATCCTGCATATTGCCTCCTGAATTTCATACCTGGTTACGCCTGTTCCCGGCTTTTCTTCCTCTCCTAATTGCCGCGCAGCTTTAGCTCCTACACTTAGTCCAGTCCCCAATACTTGAACCACCAGTTTCTCATTGAAGAACTGTTCGGCGCAAAAAGGCCGTGTTATCAATGGCACGCCCGCGCAAATACTTTCCAATGTCGAGTTCCAACCACAGTGAGTTAAGAATCCTCCGATTGCTGGATGTGATAAAATCAGCATCTGAGGAACCCAACCCTTCAGCAAAAGTTGTCCTCTGCCTTTATTTCTCTCTTCAAATCCGTCTTCCGAAATCCATTTCTCCAGCTCTCCAGCTCTTTCTCCTTTCGCCACCAGTATGAATGGATGATTTGAAGCTTCCAGGCCTGAAGCCAGCTCTATGAATTCTGAAAGAGTGAGCCGGCTCAGGCTTCCAAGACAGGCGTATACTACAGTCCCGGGTTTCCATGAGCCCAACCATTTCATTAACCTCTGCTCTTCATCACCTGAAACCACATTGCTTCCTCTCTGAGCTTTATCAATGTTGTCATCATTGATCAAAGACAATGGTCCAATGCACCAGACTTTTCCACCCTTGAGTTTCCGAAACTCCTCCGCGTAATTTCCTTCCAATTCCTCACAACTGTTTACAACCATTCCATATGCTTCCATTTCGCCAGCTCTGACTCGTTCTCGAATGGCATTCAATTTTGGATTTGGATCTTGAATCAAGAACCCGGGGAGCTGGGATTTTGTAAGCTCGATCTTGTCAGGCAAATCAGGTATAACAAATGGTTGTCCCTCAGGAGTGGTCTCATGAACTTTAGTGATGCGCAAATTATTAGCACACACTTGAGTAAAACAGCTCATCCCGTCAAAAGAAATCCAGGGAATCCTGTATTTTCGTGTCACTTCTGCTACCCAAGGGAAATGTTTGTCACCTATAATGCAGCTTGGACTTGGGTTTAATTCTTCGATCATCTTTCCAATTGGGTGTTGTAGCATCTGAATTCCAGTTCGGATATTCACCAATAAATCATAAGATGGAAGATCATCAGCACATTCACACCCCTTAGGCAATCCGACCTCCTCTGATGGGAATGGAACTTGAAGTAGTCGAATGCGGAGTCCTGATGCAGCAGCACGATCAATTACGGCTTCGATCCGCCGCGCATTCATCGTTGTGGTAATAATAGTTACAGTCACACCTTGCCGAGCCAACAATTTTGCCATATCAACCATAGGAAGAATGTGGCCTGGTGCTATTAGAGGTATCATAAGGAAGTTCAGTTCTTCTTTCTGCAAAGGCATTGCTTCTTCTTGTTGTTGTTGATTTTTTTTTCCCTTGAAAAATACGATTGGTGAAACAGAAAATCAAGGACTGATTAAGGTTCTGTCACTAATGGTAACAGGATGATTTGGATCAATTAGTTGAATGAGATGAGGAGTTAAATATGGTATGATTGTTTGTTACATGATGTAAGAGCTTACATTAGCTTTTACAAAGAACGTCAAAGTGTCAAAGTTCAGTCCTTTCACGGAAAGAAAAGCAAGGGATAATCCTTAAATATATTTGGTATCCTCGCTGTCCAATAATCTTTTTGACCAATGAGAGTATTTTAGGATTTAAGATAGAAAGACAGAAGACTAAACAAACTCACTGAGTATTGGGAAAGCAAATTTGATTTGCATAGTTGAGATCCACAAATTTTTTAATCTAGCTGCAGTAGTCAGTACATTAGATTCCTGAAACAAGTAAAAAGAGAGGATACGTGAATCATATGATGACACATGCTCCAAAAAGCAGAGCCCGATGAGCTTAAAAAAGTAAAGATTTACTGGAAATATTAAAATTTTCCTGATGCATTTTAGTAATCTAGTACTCCCTCATGTTATTAATATAAGATATTTTGACTTTATCTTAGGTTTCAACTAGTACCCGTTTTTAATTGATAAAAGAATCTTAAAAACATTCCCTAACAATCACGAGAACACAAGGAATGTGAAAATATAATTTTAAAGTTTTTTTTGTCAATTAAAAATGTGTACTAAATGCAATCTAGGACAAATCAAAATACTTTATATTAAGTAACGGAGGGAGTACATTACCACTGTTTTGTTTATATCCTAGAATGAGTATATTGTAATCGCCATTGTAGATGCAATTCAACCTTAATAACACCAATGGGTCAAAATTTTAGGTATTGATGAAAGAGATTGAGAGAGAAATGGATAAAAAAAAGTTGCAAAGAGAAGTGAAAATTGGAACCAAAAGATAAACTGCAGCCTTGTAGGCGCATAATAGGATTCACTCTTGTTCATAATGACCAATGCAAAGACACTTTTTATTTTGAGAATGAGAAACAAGACTGCTGATGAATAAAGTAGAGTGCTTTTTTTTTTTTTTGGTTGCTTGAACTGGCATTAATTTCATCCCAATTGTGGAATGTTAAACTGAAACATGCATTACTGATTGATGTCCTGCAATTTTCTCTACTCCTTTGGACTTTCCAAGCAAGCATTTAATCTGTTTTTTTTTCCCCTTTATCATATTCCATTCTCTGGCTGTTTCTTAGAACGTGATAACCGCATTACTTCTTGTATTAGTAGTGAAACATTGAGGTACGAAGATCCTCCTTCCTCAACCGCCTTTCGGGCCATTTCCCCGAGTTCTTTCGCCTTTTTCCTTCTTTCATTTGCATCAACATTATCCTTATCCATCACCTTACATATAGCCTGCTGAACTTCCAGCCTGCTCACTCCCATTTCCGGCCTTTCTTCCTCACCTATTTTCCGGCCAAATTTGGCACCGGCGCTCACCCCGGTTCCCAAAACTTGTACCACCAGTTTCTCATTGAAGAACTGTTCAGCGAAAAGAGGCCGTGTTATCATCGGCAAGCCGGCAGAAATCCCTTCCAACGTCGAGTTCCAACCACAGTGCGTTAAGAATGCTCCAATTGATGGATGTGATAAAATCAGCACCTGAGGAGCCCAGCCCCTAATCAGAAGCCCTCTTCCTTTTATTCTTTCTTCGAACCCGTCTTCCGAAATCCATGCCTCAATGTCCTCTTTATTTTTCCCTTTCACCACCAGAATGAATGGATGGTTCGATTCTTCCAGGCCTAAAGCAAGCTCCATAAACTCTGACCTTACAAACCGACCCAAGCTTCCGAGGCAGGCGTAAACAACGGTCTCCGATTGCCACGAATCCAGCCATTCCATTAGCCTCTGTTCTTCCTCAGCCGTGACTGCGCTGTTTCCTCTTTGAGCTTTATCTAAATTGTTTTCGTTGCTCAAAGACAAAGGACCAACGAACCAAACTTTACCTCCTTTGAGTTTCCGAAAGTCCTCGGCGTAACTTCCTTCAAGTTCCTCAAAGCTGTTAACCACCACACCATAAGCTTCGGTTTCCCCTGCTTTAATTCGTTCTCGAATGACTCCCAAATCCGAACTTTGTCCAGGATTCAAGAATCCTGGAAGTTGGGATTTATTGAACACAAATTTGTCAGGCAAATTAGGTACAACAAAAGGTTCACCCTCCGGGGTGGTCTCATGGACTTTAGTGAGACTTAGATTATGAGCACAAACTTGAGTAAAACAGTTCATCCCATCGAAAGAAACCCATGGAATCCTGTATTTACGCCCAAGTTCCACTGCCCAAGGAAAATGTTTATCACAAATAATGCAACTCGGACTTGGGCTTAAATCTGCAACAATCTTCTCAATTGGTTTCTGTAACATTTCAATTGCAGAGAAGAAGTTCATAAATAAGGAGTAAGATGGTAGATCATCAAAGCTTTCGCATCCCTTTGGCAATCCGGCTTCCTCAGCCGGGAATTGAACTTGAAGAAGCCGGATGGAGAGCCCAGAAGCAGCAGCACGATCGATTACGGCTCCGAACCGGATCGCATTCATGGCGGTGGTGATAACGGTTACCATTACACCTTGTCTTGCCAACATTTTGGCCATGTCAATCATTGGAAGAATGTGGCCAGGTGCTCCAAAAGGTATTAGTATGAAGTTTAACTCCTCTTTCTTAGAAGCCATTGTTGTTATATTTTGGTCTCTTCGAAAAATTTCAGTGGGGGGAAATTGCTGATATACTCTGAGAAAGATATCACAGAGTGATGATGCTGTTGAATAATATAAGAGCAGGAACGGAACTCTTCTTGGTCCGAGTCTGAGAAATGTTGACGTAAGAGCTTACCTATTTTACCATTTGTTTCCACAAAGACGTCAAATGACAACAGGACAACAAATGAAAATTGATCATTTATTTTCTTTTGGATAACAAAATGTAGATAATTCTAAAATCTAGGAGAATATGAACATGATTTTCCAGCAACCTTTTTAATCCAATTAGAGGATTCAATCAAATATCGACAGACACGTGAGACAATTCAATCACTTTCGTTATGTGGCTTGTTAAGTTGTTATTACTGATTACTACTCGTATTACAAAAGCTGAATGAATTCGTTTATATTTCATTTTTTCACTCGCCTATTTACATAACAAACTAATGGAAAAATCCAGTGAATGAAAACTAAAATTATTTTCTACTTAATGAAACATAGGATTTAATCCTGTGTGATAGCGTGTTTTCTATTTTAAAATTTAGTATTACCAATGGAAACCTATAGAGAGAAAAAACATAAAATTATTTTGTACTAGACACATAAAATTTAATCCTATGTAGTATTACCTTTGTCCCAAAATTATTGTCCAGTTTGAGATTTTATTTTTAGTACAATTTAAACTAGAAATGAAAACTTAAACTGGACAATAATTATGGGATGGAGGGAGTAGCATTTTTCTATATTTTTTCCTTTTAAAATTTAGTATTTATAACTATTACTGACCAAATCAACCATGTAACTAAGGGAATTGGACGCAAAGCAAAGAAGATATTGGTGAACGTTTGAGTTTGAATGAAAATGAAATAAAAGAAGATAATATCTCCGTAATAATTCAGGAGCTTGAGAGTTTTTGGTCCTCAGTCTTTGGGAAAATACCTTAGGGCCTTTTTGTCCTTTCCCACGAATGAGTAGTAAATGTTCCCACTATTTTTTACTTTCACAATTTCAATACCGGTTGATTTTTCTCAGGTTTTTTAAATACACATTTTTACATACAACTAAAAAGTAAAAAGTAAAAACACAGTCACCCACCGGAAAAAGATCTAAACACTTTTCTCCGGTTTCTCCGTCAGTCATCGGCCCGGTTGCGCCTCTCAACTTCACATCCGGGTCGGAACCCTGTTACTCTTTCTCTAGGATTATCGAGCATAGATTGGAATGGCCAAACTGCGCAAGAGGAAGGAAGGCGGAGCTGGAGCTGTGCGGCGGCTGCAGAGAAAATGGACGGAAAGCTTGCTTCTTGTTCATTATCAGGGACCACAAAACTAAATTCTGATCCCGGAGGTTTGATTTTTGACTGTTACATTTGAAATCTGTCTCTTCTTTTTTAATTTTTCTTTTCTTTTTTTTTTTCACTTTCTTTGGTAGCAATTTGAACCCTCAATTCTTGTAGTAGATTTTTTGCTCAAAGATGGAAAGTTGCTGTTTTACGCTTTCCGCTGTATGTCGTTTTCGAGTATAACTTTTGGTGATGGATAGATTTGCTTGTGTGCCTTTATTGGAGGGCTTATGTTATTTAATTTAAGTATTCATTTAAAAACAAATATTCCCTCCGTCTTACAAAAATAGTCTATATTGAGTTTCGAAATTTCTACTAAAAATAGTATAAAACTCTAAACTCAATGTGAATTATTTTTGTGGAACGGAAGAGTAGTATAATAGTAGTTAGTATCGCACGATACATATCACGTATCGTACGACAGGCGATATGTATCAAAATCAAAGATTTCGAGACGTATCATAGTATGATCGTAATTGTTTATGTATCGGTCAATTGACGATACGTATCGTACGATACATACGATACACGATACGTTTGTGTATCATACGATACAAAAATATAGGCAAAAATGATTTTTCCCCCTTAAAAATATTCAAATTATTTTTTTATAATGACCATTTAAATTTCAAATTAGCAAAAAATTTCATTTACAAATTCGTTTTAAATAAAGACTTTTGATTTATTTCCTTCACAAATATAATATCCCCCTTTACTTAAAGCAGAAACACTCGAAGAAAAAAAATGGACATGTGGTGTCTTCAAGAGGCAGATAAATAACATATCTTTGTAAGTAAACGAGAGATTTTATTTATTTTTTAATTTATTATGATGATAAAATTCCTCAAAAACCTCCCGGATTTATATCTGATTATAATAAAAACATCACAATTTTAGCTCTGATAGTTATCAACTCTGAAACATGCATTAAATTGCCCCCAATTTCAACACTTCAAAAAAAGCCGCCTAAAATTGCAAAAAAAAAAATCATATTTGTAATTTAGTTATTATTAAAAAAATCATGCAAAGTGTCGTTCCCTTTTCATTCGAAGGAAACGGGTTCAATAAAATCCCTAATTTCTTACTACTTCTCTACTCAAAATCAATTCTTGCTAATCTTTAGAATCAATCACAATCCCATGCTTCAATTTCAAACACAAGGATCAGATATTTATCGCAATACACCATTTTCCGACTCGGATCGATCATGCACGGCGGCTCAGTGTTAACATAGTTCTCTCCCTTATATTTCCTCTCTCAATACGGGCTCCGGGGTTTCAAATAAGCCACTTCAAATTTTCGGTTCTTTTTTCCGATCCGACCTCGACATCCAGCACCACCACGCCGCCTCAAGTTTCCTTCGGCCGGTTCTCTTAATTTGGGTCAGAGTGAAAACACAAGAACAAACATCAGCAATGAAGAAGATCCAGCCGACGTGAACAATCCTCAAAGTAGATCCAACGACATCAACAACCCTCAAAGTAGATCTCGCTGGCACAACGACGACAATGACGGATCAACGGCAGCTACAATTGAGACAAGACCACAATAAAAATAGACGAGCAACCAGAAAAGATGACTGGAGCAAAAGCAAAAGAAAAACACCGACTTTTTAAGAGGCGACTTTTCTCAATAGTTTTACTATGGATCAAAAGTGGCTTTCAATGTGACAACACCAAGGGCATTGTATTCAGTTGTGGAACTTAAGTTTTGGTGAAAACCGAAAAGTATTACGAATGGAGTGAAGAAAAAAAGGTGCTTCCAACACAGTTAATGGTTTCTGTTTTTTGATCTATTAAGTTTAAAGTTTGAACAATTTGTATGCGCAGATCCTTCAATTTTGAAGGCTTACCCACCGATTTTATGTTACTATTCATATTATAAAAATATAAAATATTATTCTTTTTATGAATCATTTGTTTTTTCATCTAACCAATTTAAACTTATAAGAGTCGCCCAGGCCTTCTCCCGGGCAAGAATTTATATATGAATTTCGAATTCGGATACATTCAAAGACGATGTGCATACCATCATATTCTTTTTCGATACCTAAATATTATAATACTCATATTATACAATATTATTTTTTTAATTAATATGAATGTAACATATGGAATTTATGATATTCATTATTTATTGTATGCATATTATTACATTAAAACGTATTTTACGATACGATATACCATACGATACGTATATCATGAATTTAGGTTTCCGATATACGATACTTATCCCGATTCGATAACTAACTATATCTGTTCAGCTGTACCACCCCATTAAGTATGATGGTATTTTCAGGGACTAATCCTCAAATAAAAATAAGAAAGATAATAATTCCTGTTTCATACCCAATGTATTGGCATACCTTTTGACTAGAGTTACATGAATGAATGTGAATAATGTCTCTCAAACCCACAGGTACTTCTAAATCATTGGGTTCAATTTGACGTACGAGATTACTGATGGTCTGTTATCATTCAGAGCTTGAGTGTTTTGGCTGCTTGTTTGTTGCTATTCCTTTCTTTCTGTGCCAATATTCATTTTTTTTTCTTTTAGCTCAGGTTTGTTATTTGTGTGATCTTTTGGTTTCGTGGATGACCTGTAGGCACAGTTGACCTCCCTAATGTTGTTCCCAAGGATTTTGATCTCAAGGGAAATCCTGAAGGAGGGAGTAATCATGTTAATGTTCCAGTTGACCAGGGAGCATCTGGCACATCTTCTGTTCCATTGTCTACTCCTGAGGGAGCGATACAAAGGAGCCATCCCTACTTGGATACTTCTCCTCCCCCGCCCAAGGTACAGATAGAGGAAAACCGTCCTATTATATGTCCTAACCCTATAACAGTCACAGATAAGGGTTTAGAAGTGTACAGCTGCTTATCTGATGCAGTATCTGAGGTTAGTGGAACATACATGCCACTCTTTCTCTAGAATTGTGCTTTCTTATATTATTAATGTTGTCTTAGTTATCGCTGTAAGTTGGTGACATGTTCATCGGGGTATTTTCTTAGATTCAAAGTCGTCTCTCTCGTTACAAAGAACAAGGAAGGTCTACTGGCGAAGGAGTTATAGAGCTTGCATCCAAACTTCAAGAGATGGAGACCCAGCAGAATGAAGCCTTAAAAATGTGTGATAACCTGCGGGGAAAAAATACAAGAACAGGGGAAGAAAAAGGCCTCTGATCTTAAGGCCCAGGAAGATTGTATTTTGCAACTGAGAGGAGAGTATGCTAAATTGAAAGGTGAAAGGGGAGCGTTTTTACGCACTCTTATAAAAAAGTTTCTGGAAAGTTATGGCTTCATGAAGTTCATTGGGAAACTGGCCAACCCAGTATTAGCTTTAGGGCATCACCAAGCAGTGGAGAGATTGTCGTCCCTCCAGAATCTGCCTCACTATTATTTGTGAGGTTTTTATAGGTCAGCCGAGGATAGGTTGCAACATACAATTTTTTTCGTTGTCAAGGAACCAAATTGTAATTTTTCGCTGATAGAATATTTGGTGAGTCTTTCTGAGCCTCTTTCTGGAAGAATTGGAGAATCTGGAGGAAGATCATAACGTTGAAATGGACATTGTTCCTACAGTACCAACAGATAACAATGATGCTGTTCCGTATGATATGGAGGATAATGAGTGTTTTTAGCGAGCTGCCATGGAGAAGTTAGAAGTGTCAAGTGAGGTTACCAGATTTCCTGGGAAGAGGGTTTTTGAGCTTGAAGCTAAAATTCAAGAGATGGAGATTGCCCATAATGATACGAGAAAAATTTTGATGATCTGCGGGGGAAAATAGAAGAGCGCACAACTGAGCTTAAAGCTTGTCAAGATCGGATTGTGGTGCTAGAAGAAGACAGTTTAATCGACACAAAAAGGCAGGAAGAAGAGATTCAACGTCTTAAATATTCAATTGAAGGAGCTAGGGCCGTTGTCCAATACTGGGAGGACTCTCAGGCAGAAAGTTTCAAGAAGGTTGTGGATATATATACACAATACTTCAAGCTTCAAACTTATGTAACCAAATTGAGGTCACGGAGTGAGGAGCTGGAGGCCCAATTTGAGCAGTTGTCTAGAGATCGTCAAAGTAAGGAGTTGGAGGCCCAAGTTGAGCAGTTGTCTAGAGATCGTTGTTTTCTGATGGTGGAAGGAATCCCTATGGCGGCAAGTAAGTTGCTTCAAAGTGACGAAGTGCATGAGATCTTGTGACAACTCTGCAAGGATGTTAAGTTGAAAGCAAAGGCCGAGGCGACACTTAACCTGAGACAGCGGTACTTCCGTAAAAAACCAATAGAAGAGTTGCCGTATTATTACCATGGGAATTTTGAAGAGAATGTGGAATATCTTTACAAGCAATTATTGGAGAAAGAGTACAAGTATTTGGTAGATATTGCCTTTAATCGTGACATGTCAATTGAAAACTTTAAGAAGCTAGAGCCTCAGAAGCCGTCTTCTCGATTTTATGATGATGTTGATGAGGTTCCTCCTGCTGATGATGTTGTTCGTGATGATGATGACTGGTCTGATGACTGGTAAATTGAGGGAAGATGAGAATGTGGAATTAATGGACTGCATTCAGATGAAGAGATCAACCTTCTTAAGAATTCAGATGAAGAAGCTGCGACCTACGACCTGCGACAACTATGGAGTATTGGAAGGACAAAAGGTGGTGTTACATTTTTTCCTTGAAAGATCAAAAGGTGTTGTTACTTGTAAGCTGAAAAATTCTCTTGCATTCTCAATTAGCCTATTTTTGTTAGTTCGAATGCCTTATTCCCCCCCCTCCACCGCCCCGTTTTCCTGATCCCTTGGTCAATGAATATTTCCGTCCTCTCTTTCAATTTCCTTTTTATTGTAATCGTTACCTATTTCCCGCAAGAATTATGAGCACTTCTTGAGAAGCAATAGAGGCTCACTCTGTGCTATGCATGACCACTATTCAGAACCGCCGGTTCACGGTTCAGGAAACATATGAACCTTAACCGGTCCTTAACTCTATGGTTACGATTACGGTTCGTAAACCTCCAGTTAAGGTCCGGTTCTGAGCCGGTTCTGGTTCTAAACCCTCTAGTTCGTTGACGGTTTTATTCCGATTCTTTTATGATTTTAACCTAATTTTTATACAATTCTTTTGTGTTGTATTTTTCAAAAAGAAAATTGAAAATTTCGTGTTTGGTTTTTAAAGCAACTCATTCAAATCCTCAAAATATGTCTATTATGACGTATGATTGTTGGCCTAGCAAACAACTTTTCATATGTCTAATTTTTAAACTAAATTTTGGACCACTTTTCATATGCATTTTCTTGATTTTATAAATAATAACAAAAATAAATATATTAGGCAATATTTAAAATTTATTCAAAATGATGAATTATCATTACATTTTTTTTTCTAAATATAGAAACAACAAAACATAATATTAACAAAAAAAATAAAAATTACATACTTTGAGCACTACAATAGTAACATGCTAATCATTAACAAGTGAAAAAAAATTCTATTTAACCCTAATTAATTAGATCGACCACTTAATTTTAAGTATTTGTTTGTTGAGACTCTATAAATCATATTTAAAACATGAGGGTAACATGAAAAACAAATTAAAAAATTATTATTGGAAAACAAAACAGACATATACCTTGATACAACCACAAATTAGAAAATGGACATCTATTTTGAAAATGAGATAGTAATTAACATTTTTATGTTTATAAAAACTAATATTTTTATACTTATTTTTTATGAAACCGATGATTAACCGAAGGTTTTTTACGGTTTGAACCACCGGTTCAAAACCGCTGATTTGAACTGCCGATGTACAGTTTTTGGAAAGGTTGAACCATAACCAGTCCTTGACTAAATGATCCGATCCGGTTCATAAATCGATGGTCTGATTCTAAATCGGTTCTGGTTAAAACCTGAACCGTGGTCATTCCTACTCTGTGCCTCTCTCTTTCGAGAAGCAAAGGCACACACAGACACAAAAACACACGGTAGAGTGATGAAACAACCTTCTATTGTTTCATCGTCAAGTTGTGTTATTACTTTACTTAACCGGTACTTGATAAATGGATTTAGTTCTATAATAATGAATGACCCACTTATAAGAAATGTGAAGGAAAAATCCCGTGTAAAGAACAACAATTTTTATAGCTAAATAGGATATAGATTCCAGAAGTTCTGGATTTGAAGAAGTTGGGGAAGAACGAGAAGATTCTTCATAAAAATTCATCCATAAAAATATACTACAATAAATATTTATATTATTCTTTTTATATATATATACTGGGAAGCTTAACGCTTCGATACATTTAAACACCACGAGAGTGTTCTGTTTTCTCAAAATGTAGTCTATCAAGTATTGTGGACGGGGTGTAGACAATATTTATATTATTCTAGTTATCCTAATTTTAACTCGGCCCGAAATGTTTCTCTACTTCTATTTGAATCCTTGGGCATGACAGCCTGCCTGAGTAGTTAAGCCCATAAATCATGAAATAGGCTTCAGATGAAATCTTGGACTAACAATTTGATGTTGTTGTGAGAAGAACCTCCATGTTCAACTGCTCGTTGGGCCTTTAATCCAATCTCTTTAGCTCTTCTTCTTCGCTCTTCGCCTTCCTCTCCTTCGTCCATCAATTCTGCTAAAGCTTTCTGAATATTATCCCTCGTCACCAAAATTCCAGCTTTATCTTCTTCTCCCCATTTTACAGGCATTCCAACTCCCAAACTCACTCCGATTTTCAAAACCTGCACGATTAGCTTCTCATTGTAGAATTGCTCCGCAAATTGTGGCCATGTCGCCATTGGGACCCCGGCTGATATCCCTTCCAGCGTTGAATTCCACCCGCAATGGGTCAAGAACCCTCCGATTGCTTGGTGGGAGAGAATCATTACTTGTGGAGCCCATCCACGAATCAGGAGCCCTCTGTCTTTGGTTCTTTCTTCAAATCCATCTTCGGAGATCAACCGATCTAATTCGCCAGATTTGGGCTCTTTCCCAAATGCCCAAATGAAGGGTTTGTTTGATGCTTCTAAGCCTAAAGCAAGCTCCATCATCTGCAAGGATGACAGCCGAGATAAGCTTCCAAAGCTTGCATAAATGACTGATCTTGGGTCATGCGAATTCAGCCAATCCAAGCAGTACTGTTGATCAATTGAAGAACGGTTCCCTCTCTGGGCCTTATCTAGGTTATCAACGTTGCAAAGGGAAACAGGGCCGATGCACCAAACTTTTTTCCCTCTTGCCTTTCGATATTCCTCCACATAATTAGGTTCTAGTTCCTCAAAGCTGTTGACTATAACGCCATATGATGTCTCCTCTGCTTCTCTGATTTGCTCGGTAACTTCTTTGAATGAGGATGAATTTGCGTTCGTGGTGCCAAGGATTTGAGCTTTAGTAACTTCAATTTTATCAGGCAAGCCGGGCACCACAAAATACTCTGTATCTGTGTTAATGCTTTGGCAAATATTCGACTTTAAAACGTTGTAGGAGCATAATAGGGAGAAACAACATGTACCATGGAACACGATCCTTGGGATCTGAAATCTTTTGGCGATTTGGTTGGTCCAAGGCAAACCCATGTCTGAAATTATACAGCTTGGTTTCGGATTCACCTCTGTTAGTAAAGTTCGCTCCACCTCCTGGCGAAACAAGTTGAGGGCCATGAAGAAGTTGATTGCCATGCTTAGGGAAGGAAGAGAATCGAGATTTTCACAACCTTCTGGCAATCCGGCTTCTACAGATGGAAAATGAACCTCCAGCAGGTTGATTCTGAGCCCGGATTCGGTTGCGCGATTGATTGTTTTGCCGAATCTTTGGGCGTTACTGGGAGTTGTGACGATGGTAACAGCCACATCTTGCTGTGCTAGCAGCTTGGCGATGTCGATCATGGGAATCATATGGCCAGGGGCCATCAAAGGAAACAAGATGAAGTGAAGGTGGTTGGCTTTGGAAGACATGGCTGGCGTCTCCATACACAATTTGGATGCTCTTTCGAGGTGGGTTTTCTACTTTAGTTCTATAAAGTTCCTTCTTTTTAATTACAATGCCTCCTGGGTCCTGCTGCTAATGGATATCTATGGTATGAGATGCAATCATGAAAATCAATGATGTTGAAAAGTGTCTTTTCATTTTGGTATCTAATCTTTTCCAGCCACAAATGTTCTGCATTATTCAAAGTTGTAACTTGTAAGTCAGTCATAGTATTATTCACATTGCATTTATTTCTTGCACGTTGACTATGAGGTGTAAAATGTGACAAGGTCCGCGGTCACATCAGTGGAAACTAACATAATAACGCAGATTTTATCTCTGAATTCTAAAGGATAATAGATACAGATAGAGCTGAGCTCAATAGCTTGAAATTGTTATGCTTCTAATTAGTATAGCATACCAGAAACAACAAAAGTTGCACTTTATTTGTACCTCATGGAGTAGATGCTGTTTAACTTTCATCTTCTATAGCATGTGCATATTCCATGAGGTCTTGGATCAGTGTTGTCATGCTAATGTGAGAGGAACCTCCTTCCTCCATTGCCTTCTTCGCCTCTGATTTGAAGTTCCGGGCTCTTCCCCTGATTTGTTTTGCTGCTTCTTTTTCGCTCATCAATTCTCCAATAACACTCTTGATTTGATTTTGCTTCACTTGCACCTTAACAGTTTCCTCCTCTCCAAACCTAACGGGAAGTTCCACGCCAATTTTTACTCCAACTTGTAGTACATTCACGATTAGCTTCTCGTTGCAAAATTGCTCTCCTGCAATTGGCCAAGTTATCAATGGTATGCCGGCAGAAATTCCTTCTAGGGTTGAGTTCCATCCACAGTGTGTTAAGAATGCTCCAATTGTCTGATGGGATAGTATTAGCACCTGGGGCGCCCAACCATGAAGTAAAAGACCCCTGTCCTTGATCCGTTCTTCAAACTTTTCTTCATGAAGCCATTTCTCAAGGTCAGCTGATTTGTGCCTTATAGCCCAAATGAAGGGTTTTCCAGACGTTTCCAATCCCAGTGCAAGCTCAACCATTTGTGCAGTCGACAGACGAGACAAACTTCCTAAGCAAACATAGATAACGGAATTTGGTTCCTGTAATTCAAGCCATCTCAAGCAATCATGCTGATCAATTGAGGCCTTGTGATGGCCTCTTTCAGCCTTGTCTAGGTTGTCTGAATTGCATGCCGAAACTGGGCCAATACACCAAACCCGTTGCTTCGTAATTTGTCTGAATTCTGTGATGTAATCCTTCTCCAATGCCTCAAAAGTATTCACCACTATCCCAAACGAATTCTTCTCAGCTTCTTTCATCTTATCTTGCATAGAATTTACTCCTGATATGCTTGGGTTGACAAAACCCGGAAGCTGAGCTTTGGTTAGCTCAATTTTATGAGGCAAATCAGGGACAACAAAGTACTCCGAATCAGATTTCACATCAGAAAAGATCTTGGAACTCATCAGTATGCTCGTGCAATGGAGGGCGAAGCACCCTGTTCCATGGAAAACAAGCCTCGGAATCTGAAATCTTTCAGCAATCTGGTTTGTCCACCAGAAACTAATGTCAGAAATGATGCAGGATGGTTGAGGTGACACAGCCGCAACCAAGTCTTCCACGGGTTGTTGTAGCATTTCCGCGGCCTCCAAGAACTTTTTGAGCGTACTCAGCGAAGGAAGCATATCGAAATTTTCACAGCCTTCTGGTAAGCCGGCTGTAACACTAGGAAAAGGAACTTGCACTAGTCGAATCTCGAGACCAGATTGTACTGCACGGTCGACCGTGTTTGCAATTCTGATGGCATTAAGGGGGGTAGTGATTATGGTGACTATTATACCGCGGCTCGCCAACAATTTAGCTATGTCGACCATAGGATTCATGTGACCTGGAGCCATCAGAGGAAGCAAAACGAAGTGAAGTTGCTGGATCTGGGTGGCCATGACTACAAATCTTATGGTCGTTTGCCCATATAGCCTAATTCGAGTTAGTATTTATTAAACAAAAAGAAACACTTTCTCGTGATTCCCCTGTTTTGGATGGATGCTAGATTCATTGGAATCTTGTTATGATAACATTGTTTTGTTCCTGTACACTTTGCGACTGATTGTCTGTTTTGTAACACAGAGTTTCAATAGTTTCATTGCCGACTGATTCCAACCGGATTCATTGTCTTTCTTTGTTACTTATCATTGAGAATCTGTACGCATTTTAGTTTATTAACTGCACGAATCTCCCTGCTTTCCCACAAGTACTGCCCGTTAACTGATCAACAATTTTCCGTATATCGTCAAAATAAAAAATTAAAAATTAAAAAGATGACTGGACAGAATGTATGTTTATTGAACTAAAACAATATATATCGAACCCGACTTTTCTTTTTTTTTTTTTAATATATAAGATGGCTCTCTCTAATCATTTTCTTGGGTCACGCAACTTTTGGTGGCTTATAAAATGTATTCATTCGCTAGATATATTCAGGCCACAATGGGAGCCGACAAGGATACCGACAGGAGAACAGCCACTATTGTTGATTGATTATGATTGAGTCTTGGGTCCTTGCTAAGTAGTGTTTGTTTGTGGAAGAAATTTTGTTGGCAAATGGCAATTCACATCATGACACAAGTATTACCAATACGAAAGGAAAATACAAAAGTACGAATACAAAAAGGAAGACCATCAACATTACATCGTATATTCCTCACCAACTGACTCTTCTTTCTTGACCAGGAATCAAATCTCCACCCTCAAATTTTGATTAAAATTATAAAATGAGCTATATATGTTACTATTTTGGAAAACTATATCCTTTTCACTTCTAACGAGAAAAACCGTACAAATGATTAATTAGTAACACGCCCGTGTTAATGACACGCTATATTTTGATTTTGCAGGTGTGCATTAACGCTTCTTAAAATAAAAATCGAACGAGATTTTCCTGCTTCTTTTTCGGCCCTTTTAATAAAATCCTCCTGTATTATCTCTTTGAGAAGTAATGCCAAATTATATGGGATATAATATGATTAGGTCATCATCATGCTGATAGGCGTGTTGCCAGTAATAGGACAATAATAATAATAATTAAACGGGACAGTTCAGGCTGCCCAAATTCAACACGATACTGAAGATTTCTGATGCTACAAAAGTCACGAGAACCAAAAGCTATTTCTGGAGAATCATTCGAAAAGCTTAATTTGATTCTTCACGTACAAAAATACCACCCCCGCATTCACACCATTGCATTCATCTGCTTAAATAGATAATTAATTGCGTCCCCTTCTTCTTCTTCTTTGTGGTCTCACTCACTCAAGTGATGCTATAGAATTGCCAACTCGTCCCACTTGTGTAAGTCCACGTCTCCTCGTTTTCATTTCAAGGCCTGGGGAATAGATAAAACTGGATTCATGGTAAATAGTTTCGACGAATTTTATTTCTTGGTGTCAGGTATTCGTGTGTCATCTGGAATTCAAACATGTCATATTTTGGAGTCAATAACCGTAAACATGAATCCGAACATTAATGATTACCACGGATTATGATATTTGTAAGACTCATGGACTATGCTTACTCCAGTCCACGTAATTTTTTAGTGTAATTTTCAATGGAAACATTTGTGGCGGAAAAGTATACGCAAAGAAAGATGATTTACAAGTATGGGACGAAATCTGCTGTAACTGATCAATTGGAAAACAATAAATTACATGAACGTGAGGTATATGAAGCCTATGAATCTTCTTCTTCAATATTATGCATGCTTGTGGGCTGATTCTCCCGGTGAACTTTCTCCATGATATCTTGGATCAGCTGCATAATGTCTAAGTATGAAGATCCCCCTTCTTCTAACGCCTTCCTCGCCTTTTTTCCAAGTTCTTTAGCTCGGGTTCGTCTCATTTCCGCTTCTTCTCTTTCATCCATTATCTTATCAATTGCCCTTTTAGTTTCATCTCTGTTTACCTGCACGCCGGCCATTTCTTCGTATCCGATATAAACAGGACTTTCAACTCCAGCCCTGACTCCAATTTCCAGTACATTCACCACTAGCTTCTCGTTTAAAAATTGTTCCGCGAACAACGGCCATGTGATCATCGGTACACCTGCGCATATGCCTTCGATTGTTGAATTCCACCCGCAATGTGTTACGAATCCTCCAACCGAAGGATGGGATAGTATTAGAACTTGTGGCGCCCATCCCTGAATTAAAAGGCCTTTCCCCTGTATCCTTTCTTCGAATTTCTCTTCCTGGATCCATTTCCTGAATTCCTCAGGGGCATCCCTGATGACCCAAATGAATGGTCGATTGGAGGCTTCTAAGCCTAATCCGAGTTCAATCCATTGGGATGTTGACAGCCGGGTTATGCTTCCCAGACAGGCGTAAATCACCGAGTTCGCCCCCTGAGAATCGAGCCATTTCTGGCACTGGTGCTCACTGATGGATGCCTTGCTTCCTCTTTCGGCTATGTCTCTGTTGTCTTTGTTGCACAGGCTAACCGGACCGACGCACCACACCTTTTTCGCTTTTGCCTTTTTGTATTGCGCGATGTAATCAGGTTCCAGGTCCTGAAAGGTATTGACAACGACGCCAAACGCTTCATTCTCTGCTTCTCTCATGCTATCCTGAAGCTCTTTCCACTCAGCATAGTTGTTCTGGTTGACAAGTCCAACAATCTGAGCTTTAGTCAGTTCGATTTGATGAGGCATATCAGGGACGACAAAATACTCTGAATCAGAAGTTATGTCGTCCAGTTCTTTAAACCTGGCCAAATTGTATATGCACAAAAGGGAAAAGCTGCAAAATCCATGGAACATAAGCCTCGGAACCCCAAATTTTTCAGCAACCTGATTAGCCCAGGGATGACACATGTCAGCAAGAATGCAGCTTGGGGACGGTTTCAGCTCCTGGATCCGTTCTTCAATCAAAGGCTTTAGCATTTTACAAGCTGCAAAGAACTTCACGCCTAAATCCATGGAAGGAAGCATATCGAAACACTCGCACCCTTCGGGTATACCTGCCTCTGCAGCTGGAAATTCGAGCTGAATGACCTGGATTGGCAAGCCGGCTTCTTCCACGGCTCGCGCAAGCACCGAATCAAATCTCTTGGCATTCAAAGGTGTGGTGAAGATGGTTATGATTACGCCTTGGTGCGCGAGCAATCTGGCGATGTCAATCATAGGAATCATGTGGCCTTGTGCCATGAAAGGAATCAATATGAAATGAGGAGGCCGCTTGGGAAAAGCCATAGTTAATTAGTACTTGAAGAAGAATTAAAATTTTTGTTCTAGTGTTGCATATGGTAAGTGAGGAAGGATTACAGTTATATATAGATATGTATATAAAGAGAGATAATCTGAGAAAATAGTGAATAACCAAAGGTTTTGGAGTCTGTTACGGGTCTGATGTAAGCGACTGCATAAGCAGAAGCCTGAGAAGGATATTCTAAAAACTTGTGGCTTGTTCTGTTGGATAGTATTTATGTGGATAGTGTAAGTTTGTCCATATACTGAAGAATTCGTCAATGTGAATGGGCCTTGTGGTGATTAAGAAGATATGCAGAAGAGTTTCAAACTTCTGACTTTCAGAAATAGATACAAAAAAAAAAAAAATAAATAAAGTTGCTGTCCTACACGGGTTTTCTCAATGCTGATTGATGGTGAAGGTGGCAGAGAGACTGAAGACATTTGCTTGTTTTTTGGTTTGGTTGGGCAGTTAGAAGCCACGAAAAAAGAGTGTTTTTCTCATCTTCTGGGCAGAGATACAAAACGAAGTATGGAGTAGATGTTGTCGTTCCCCTTCATTTCTGTCGTAGAATCCACCCACCGTATGGTGGATAAACGTTCTGTTTATTTATCGGCATGCACCATTTTTTTGTGTATTGGATACTATTTTCAGTTTTTTCACAGACCAGCAGCAATATGGGCTTCATAAATTGGAAGAAAAAGTAATAAAAATCGTCTTAAGGGCCTAGAGAGTCCACGTAAGGAGGGCCATTATAATTAATTAACGAGTTAGATTTTTATGTTTCAAAATGATTGTCTAGTTTGAATTTTCATTTTTAATACTCTAGAACCGAGAATTATTCAGAGATAAAAGAGAATATATATAGTGAATGGCACGATATCTATTCAAGCATTTCGATTTTTTTCGTTCTAAAACATCTTAGAAAACATTACTAGTTGAGGACACTATATGGAGATTGTCTAATCTAAATTAGACAGTAATTTCAAAATAAAACTCTAACATTTCGATTTTTCATTTTATTTTATTTTGTTTCTATTGAAGCATCTCAGAAAACAACATTAGTTGAGAAAATAGTTAGGAGATTGTCTTTAGGCAAGGTCACGAAGGATAAAACAATGTCTCGAAATACTCAAATAAAAGTTTATTTCGGTTGAATAAAAATTAGTTTTCATGAAGCATAACTGCATAAGAACTATTATTGCATTTTTCAAAAAAAAAAAAAGAATTATTATTGCCGAGAACGTACAATAATTATTTTAAAAAATAGCAAAAATCTAAGGACAATTACATATAGCACAAAACATTTACTTATTATTGTGTGTATATATAGATTTATATAATTAACATTCTGAGCAAATTTTGACAGTATGAAGCTCCTTAAAACAGTTGCTGGCACAGGAAAAGGATCAATCAGATAAAAGAAGAGCTGAAAGGAGGAGTAGCAAATGGGATATGGCAAAGAAATAAGAAACAGCATTATACTGCTCAGAGTGGTTATGAGTGGTTAAATGGGCGCAAAGAGAGAAGAAGGAAATCAAAGGTCATCTGGAACTCATATTGCATTCCAAAGTAAAGTTTCATATGCTGGCTAGCCTGGAAAAATCGACTCCTTACAAAAGAAAGATTAAGAAAATGGGGAATAATGCAGACTGATCTGAACTGTGAGCTGTGTGTGCAGGCAGAGGAGAAGATGGACCATCTGTTCTTTGAATGTGACTTTGCATCCAAAGTTTTGTAGAGGGTCACAAATTGGCTGGGAATCAAACTGAACAGTAATGCACTAAGGGTTAATACTACCAGATTGCTCAGAATATGGAGATTTCAAGCAGTTATACAGAGGCTTCTGCATGCTTGCATTGTGGCATGCGTTTACCATGTATGGAGGGAGCGAAATGGCAGAAAGTTTGGTTCTTCCAAGATGACAGCTGATCAAAGAATTGAATTGGTAAAACATGAGGTAACTTGGTATGTGCAATTTCATTGTAGAAAGGGTAGTAATGACGACATTTGGTACTTAGAAAAACTTGGCATTAAGTTGCAATTTTGTAATAGAAGATAAACACTTTTACAGATTCAGTTTTGAAAGAAATGAAATTTACAATTTACAAAAAAAAAAAAAAAAAAAAAAACCAATCATAATTGGTCTGTAGAAGAAAGACTATGATCTCTACTTGGTAAAAAAGCCATTTCTTGAATCCATCATCTTCCCGCTCCCGCCAGGAATATTCAAACCAGGAAATTGGGTCCCAAACTTCTTCATGAGTTCCTGATTCTCAATCTCTTGGCTGGTCGGAAGACCCATGGATTTCTGCCTCTGATCGAACATCATCTTCTCAACAGCCGCTCTTGTCTCGGAATCCAAATCCGACAATCTGGAGGTCTCGGGCTCCACCTTCTGGGTGTCAATTTCGGCTCCGCCTTTCGTCAAACACTTCCACCAATTCATCCTGTCCAGCTTCGTCAGTAGAATCGAAACCATCTTTTGGTCTTCCAAACTCCAGAATGAGTCTTCCGGCTTAATTGACCCGAACAATTCTCCTTCCAATATCGGAGTCTGGTTTTTCAGCCCGACTTTGATGCGATTCTTCTTAATCTCGCACGCGACGAACCTGGCCTTCGTCCCAGCCGGAACCGCCACGTTGATGGTGACTTCCTGAAGTGATTGTCCCCATGAGTAATTTTCCATGTCCAAACCGTTTTCTTTGTTCGGAGGTCGACGTTCTGGCTTCTCTTCTGCCCGCAAAGACTCCTCCGGCTGCTTCTTTTCTTCTGCCGGCAAGGGCTTCTCGTGCTTCTTCTCTTCTGCCGGCAGAGATGGTAGATTCCCGGACTCCTTGGGCTTTTCAACCGGCATGGATTGTACATCAACTTCTTCTTCTGAGTGATCACCATGGTTATTGATTAGAGATCGTAAACAATAGGGTTTCAGGAGGCAGAAATTGCTTTATACAGCCTTAGTTCAAGAACTTTGAATTGTGTAATGGAATTACGGGTGAGTAGTTGAGTATATATAGAAAATTTAGCAACCCTAATCCTAATGGTATCAGGATTTGTTGAAACTCTCTCAATCCAATTCATAGTGGGATTAGGAACAGAGCAATTTCCAATTCAGAGAAGATTCAGGTTGCATAGTGTCCTCGTCGATTTTTAAATTTTGACGCAAAAAGGAAAGTACTTACTAATTGTTTCCCTCTGGCAATCTGATTTTGATTAGGTAATCTGTTGCAAGAGGAGTTGACAACGATATCGTCTGTTACAGACTTAGCTGCTGCCGATTGTTGACTTTTATCTCTTGTTCTGAACTTCAGTCATCTCAGGTAAGGCAGCTGGATCTGACTGCTTGATTACCATATACTTAATGTTAACTTTTACAATTTGCACCCAGACATTGTGAAGAAGAAAGCTGTTCTGCTAAGTACAGGATTATCTGTAGCAATATGATTTAAAAGGGTTCTCACCAATCTGCTGTCAATTATTACAACCTATATATTGTAGTTTAGACACAAACAAAAGAAAGAAAACGAAGAAAAAGAACACGAGAGTAATATGTGTAGTCTATGAATCTACTATGATGCTCATAGGTTGACTTTCTAAGTGAACTTTCTCTGTGAGGTCTTGGATTAGCTGCGTAATATTCTGGTGCGAGGAACCCCCTGCGTCTAGTGCCTTTTGTGCTACCTTTCCCAGTTCCTGAGCTCGCGCACGTCTCACCTGTCCTTCCTCTCCTTCATCCATCAGCTTATCAATTGCCATTTTAGTGTCATTTCTCGTTACTTGCACGCCAGCTGTTTCTTCTTGTCCGATGAAAACTGGAATTTCCATTCCAGCTTTCACTCCTGTTTTCAGTACATTTACAACTAGCTTCTCATTAATAAATTGGTCCGCGAACATTGGCCATGTGATCATAGGCACACCTGAGCATATTCCTTCTATTGTTGAGTTCCACCCGCAATGTGTCAGGAACCCTCCAACTGATGGATGGGACAGTATTAGAACTTGTGGCGCCCAGCCGTGGATTAAAAAGCCTCTCCCGTGGAGCCTTTGTTCAAATTTCTCTTCCAGGAGCCATTTCTGGAACTCGGCAGATGGATCCCTGATCACCCATATGAAGGGTCGGTTGGATTCTTCTAAACCTAATCCAAGTTCTATCAACTGTGATGTTGACAGGCGAGTTATGCTTCCCAAACAGGCGTAAATAACTGAGTTTACCTCCTGAGAATCGAGCCATTTTAGGCACTGGTGTTCGTTGATAGATGCCTTGTTCCCTCTTTCAGCTATGTCTAACTTGTCTTTGTTACACAGGTTAACCGGACCTATGCACCAGACCTTCTTAGCTTTAGCCTTCTTGTACTGTGGGATGTAATCTGGTTCCAGCTCCTCAAAGGTATTGATAACAACACCAAAGGCTCCGTTTTCCGCTTCTCTCATTTCATCTTGAATATCTTTCCAGTCAGGTACCAGCGGTCTGGCTAAGCCCCCAACCTGAGCTCTAGTCAATTCAATTCGATGAGGCAGATCAGGCACCACAAAGTACTCAGAATCAGAAGTTACATCGTCCATCTCCTTGGACGTCGACAAATTATGCAGACACAGGAGTGAGAAGCAGCAAAATCCGTGGAACATAAGCCTCGGAACACCAAACTTTTCAGCAACCTGATTAGCCCAGGGGTGACACATGTCAGCAAGAATGCAGCTTGGGGAAGGGTTGAGCTCTTTCAGTTTTTCTTCAACTGAAGGTTTTAGCATCTTACAAGCTGCAAAGAACTGCGCAAACTGATCGACAGAAGGAAGCAAATCAAAACACTCGCACCCTTCTGGTAGTCCGACCTCCGCAGCCGGAAAATCAAGTTGAATGACACGGATTGGCAACCCAGCATCCATCGCTCGTGCAAGCACCGAATCAAATCTCTTAGCATTAACAGGTGTAGTGAAAATGGTTACGACAACTCCTCGCCGTGCCAACAATCTGGCAATGTCCACCATAGGAATCATGTGGCCTTGTGCCATGAAAGGGATCAATACAAAATGAGGAAGCTGCTTTTTGATTGCCATAGTCAACAACTGCTTCAATTGTTGTTTCTTCAAGGCCTAAGAGGGTAACCTTACGGGGTTTGTTATTTATAGAGATACTGTAGCTTATTTCTGGACTCTAAGCAATCACGTGGCATGGAATAAAAAAACAGAAAGCTGATGTAAGTGCCTGCCTTAGCAGCATGGAAGGATATGCTACAGATTTGTGGCTGGCTCAGTTTGCTGTTGTTATGTGGATAACGATCAATTGTCCTCATACTGGAAATGAATGGGTATGAATCAGAAGAGGTGAAGCCAAAATTGAAGCTTCTAGCTCCTAAAAGATGAAGAAGAAGGAGAAACTGACATAAACGTATAGATATCGTGGCGGCGTGTTGGCGCAATGTACTCCTTAAAATTGAATGTCTTAAGACACTTTCGTACTATGTCTCCAAGTAAAATGGTAGCCGTTGCGTCGTACAGTTAGAAACCACAGAAATGAAGATTTCACCCCTTCCCCCAATCATCCTTCTTGACAGACACATAAAAAGAAGGCAGCGTTACCATCTCTTTTGCCGCACAAGCACCACACCTACGTATATGGTGGACATTCTGTTCACCTGTCAATTTATTCGATCCCTCTGAATCTTTTCATCATTCTGTGAGTATCGCCAAAATGCAGAATCCAAAACAGCCCGCTGAAGTGTATTAATCTGCATGTTAGATCATATGTTTCGTCTTCAATAGATTAGATAAAATCTATTTCTAGGATTTCACTAGTTAGAGATAAGTAACCAATATTATTTTCACAACTTATTTTTCCTCAAAATTCAGAACGACTTGACTTGACATCACTCTGTAATAATCTGTATAAGCTCACACTGTTTGGGTTTGCGCTGGACACAAAGAAATGTAAGGGACCAATATGAGTGTTTGATAGTAAAATATTAATAATAACAACGAAAAAATCGATAGTAAAAATATTAATAGTGAAAGAATATATCTATATATATATTTTTTTTGCAGGTTTTGGCTGCGCAGACAATATTCTTCCACTTCTAATATGTTTTGGATTTTTTTTCAGTTCCGAAATATTAATCTTCGGGAAGTTTGGTAAACTGCAACAACAATTTTACACTTATGGCTGACTCACAAGATCGAGAAAGATTTATATCGTGATTTCTTAATTTTACAGCCGCAGCCAAGAGAGTGGCTTCGGGGCATCTCATCACGAATTGTTGGCTAAAATTCGACTTAAGCGGTGAATTTCTCTCCTGATAAGTGAGTGTTTTTAAATTCCAGTTCTCTTACAGACTCAGTTGCAGCCACTTTGTTCAGGGCTTCAGTCATTTCAGGTAAGGCAACAGAATTGAGACATTTTTTTTATTTTTTAAAACCATCCCATCATGATAAATTACCATTTCAATGTTACTTTTATAGTAATTGCATCTTAACATTCTGAAGGAAAACTAAATTGATAACACAAAAAATGTTCTACCATGATTGAAAAGGTCTCCCATGGAAGCTGTTGTATGCCACAACAACACAGAGTAGTAAAACACACGTAAACAAAATGAGAGCAAAAGTAGATATGCATTTTTAGTTTATGAATCTACTATCATTGTCTCGGTGATATCTTGGATTAGCTGTGTGATATTTAGGTACGAGCAATGTCCTTCGTCTAGCGCCTTCTGTCCTATTTTCCCCAGTTCTTGAACTCGCCTTCGTCTCGTCTGCCCTTCATCTTCTTCATCCATCAACTCATCAATTGCCATTTTGATGTCATTTCTTGTCACCTGCACTCCAGCTGTTTCTTGTTGTCCCATCAATACCGGAATCTCCACCCCAGCCCTCACTCCTATTTTCAGTACATTTACGATTAGTTTCTCGTTCACAAATTGTTCCGAGATCATTGGCCATGTGATCATTGGCACACCTGAGCATATTCCTTCTATAGTTGAGTTCCACCCGCAATGTGTTAGGAACCCTCCGATTGAAGGATGGGACAGTATTAGAACTTGTGGTGCCCAGCCGTTGATTAGAAAGCCTCTTCCCTGAAGCCTTTCTTCAAATTTCTCTTCCAGTATCCATTTCTGGAATTCATTGGATGGGTCCCTCATCACCCATATGAAGGGCCGATTTGATTCTTCTAAGCCTAATCCAAGTTCTATCAACTGTGATGTTGATGGTCGGTTGATGCTTCCCAAACAGGCATAGATGACTGAGTGTTCTTCCCATGAATCAAGCCATTTTAAGCATTGATCACTGTTAACGGATGCCTTGTTTCCTCTTTCAGCTATGTCTATGTCGTCATTGTTGCTCATGCTAACAGGACCAATGCACCAGACCTTCTTACCTGTCGCCTTTCTGTACCACGCTATGAAATCCGGCTCTAGCTCCTCAAAGGTATTGACAACAACTCCCAATGATCCATTTTCTGCTTCTTCTATTTCCTTGTGAAGATCTTTCCATTGAGGTACCAATGGTCTATCCAAGCCTGCAGTCTGAGCTTTAGTCAGCTCGATTTGATGAGGCATATCAGGTACCGTGAAGTACTCTGAATCAGAAATGATATCATCCAGCTCCTTGAATTTTGACAAATTATGTTTACAAAGGAGGGTTAGGCAGCAAAACCCTTGGAAAATAAGCCGAGGAATACCAAACTTTTCAGCAACCTGATTTGCCCAGGTATGGTTCATGTCAGCAAGAATGCAGCTTGGGGAGGGTTTCAGCTCTTTGAGCTTTTGTTCCACTGAAGGTTGTAGCATTTTACAAGCTGCAAAGAACTTCAGAGTAGATTCTACAGAAGTTAGCATGTCAAAACACTCGCACCCTTCTGGTAGGCCATTCTCTGCCGCTGGAAAATCAATTTGAATGACATGGATTGGCAATCCGGTACCCACCGCTTGAGCAAGAACTGAATCAAATCTTTTAGCATTAACAGGGGTGGTGAAAATGGTGATGATAACTCCCCGCCGTGCCAACATCCTGCCTAAGTCTACCGAAGGTATCATATGGCCTTGAGCCATGAAAGGAATCAATACAAAATGAGGTTGCTTCTGGTTGGCCATAGTTTGTACTTCACTCCAAAAGAACTAGTTCCAATACTATCTCTACAAGGCCTATAAGGTATCTTACTTAACTGAGTTTATATTTGTGGAGAAACTGAAACAAAATCTCCTTATTTCTTCTATGATCCAGTAGTATCAGCAAACAGACACCAAGCTGGATTCTGTTCATCATTACACAATCATTATGCTAGTACTATGTCCAAGTTAGTTGAGAGTTGGTTGAGAGAAATAAATGATCTCCAAAAAAAATCCAACCAGTATTAACTGTTGAGGATCTTTTGGTGGCCAAAAACTTTAGACCAAGTCTTTTTTCCTTTTATTTTTTCTTGACCAAAAGTGTGATTAATGCTTATGCCGTGACTATGATTTTTAGAGAGTTGAGCTGGTGGATTAATGATTTAACAGTAGCTTCTTTGGGCAACCCGGCTGGAATTTTGTATAGCTAAATTGAAGTAAATTCCTGGACCTGGTTTCCTCAATGTTTATTGTAGCCTTGCAGGTAGTGCCTGTGTCAAATAGTTCGAGTTGGGTTGTTCAGCCAGCGACAAAAATGAGTTCTCTATCGCTTGAGAACACTCGGTTTGCATTATGGACAGGTGAAAAACAAAGTACTTTAGAGCTAAAGTAACTTAATTGGTTCAGCCATGTGGTAAACAAGTAACAATAGCTTATGTGTTGTTTATTCCTTTCCTGACACTAGTGTTAGTGTTTGACATCTTCAAGTTCAAACATATACTGCTATTCCTTGTGTTTCCATTTTAATTGGCCAAATTGCTGCAATAAATTTATCATACTATGATGGACTCATAATGTATTGAATAAAAGGCAAAATCTTGATTTCTTCTAGATCAAGTTACAACCCTTCTTAAACTTGGCAATTATTGGTGCAAATCAGAGGTAAGACCAGATTTCATGATGTTGTCAATCAAATTTTTGACATTAAGGGACGATGATCCGTCTTCAGTGGCAGTAGCCCTTTTAGCCATCTCTGCAATTTCTCTCGCTTTTCTTCTTCTTTCCTCTGCTTCCTCTCCTCTGTCCATGGCCTTGTCTATGGCCAACTTGACAGCTTCTTGCCTCATAACCAATCCAGACTTTTCTTCCAGGCCCCATGTAACGGCAGCCTCAACTCCTACACTGACCCCAGTTTTTAGCACTTCCACCACAAATTTCTCGTTGATAAACTGCTCAGCGAAAAGCGGGCATGTAATCAGTGGAACACCGGCACAGAGGCCTTCCAGAGTCGAGTTCCAGCCACAGTGTGTTAAGAATGCTCCGACAGAGGGATGGGACAAGATGAGTACCTGAGGGGACCAACCTCTCATCAAAATTCCTTTTTCACCAATTCTTTCCTCAAATCTGACTTCACTGATCCATTTCTCTAATTCTTTTGATTTTTCCCCTGATCTGATAACCCATATGAATGGCCTGTTTGATGCTTCTAGTCCGAGTCCAAGCTCGATGACTTGAGAAGCCGTTAGGCCACAGATGCTTCCAAGAGAAGCATAGATCACGGAATTTGGCTGCTGAGAATTTAGCCATTCCAAGCATTTGATCCAATCTGAGGAGTTAATTTTCCCCCTGGTTGCCTTGTCTGAGGTTGATCTATTGCAAGCCGAAACAGGACCAATGCACCATACTTTACAAGATTTGACTTTTTTGTACTCTTGTATGTATTCTGATTCCAATTCCTCAAAGGTGTTGACAATGATCCCGTCTGCTACCGACTCAGCTGCCGTCATCTTGTTTCGAACTTCAATCATGTCTGGTAAGGCTGTCGGGTTGAGGCCTTCAGGGAGCTGAGCTCTAGTCAGCTTGACCTGATGCTTTAACCCCGGCACAATGAAGGGCTCAAACTGTGATAATCCCTCATGAACTTTGGAAGTTTGCAAATTGTGTGCGCAGGAAGCAGCAAATGTCCCCATCCCATCAAAGAAAATCCGGGGGATCTTGAACTTTTGAGCTGTTTCAACGGTCCATGCCATATTCTTACCAGAAATAATGCAGCATGGCCGTGGTTCCATCACCTCCAATATTTCTTCCAGTGGTTCCCTTAACATACTGGCTGCAACAAAGAAGTTCTTGATCATACTGCGACAAGGCAGCATATCCATGTTTTCACATCCTTCGGGCAAACCAGCTTCCACAGCTGGAAATTTCAGCTCAACGAGCCTGATTTCGAGTCCAGATTCCGCAGCCTGTTCAATGGATTTCTGGATTCTGAGGGTGTTGTGAGGTGTAGTGACTACAGATACGATCACACCCCTTTGTGCAAATATTTTTGCAATGTCTACCATTGGTAGAAGGTGGCCAGGGGACATGAGGGGAACCAGCACAAAGTGAAGAACATGATCCATATCTGAAACTAAAGAGATTGATTGGCAATTACACAACCAAAACCATAAACTTTATACAATTATAAAGGGGTTGATTGATTGCTCTCTCCTTTTCAGTTAGGACTTGGGACTGAGCCATTGGTCGTCTTTGAATATAATAAAACTAGTTCATGTCAGTTCTCAGTAGACATATCATTGAGTAAAGTTGTTGGGAGTGTAAATCATTATTCTATTACGAATCTCCTATACTTTCTTAGCTGATAGATCTAAAATGGACGTATGATTTCTACCAAAAAATTAAAAAAAATGGACTTATGAGTGGACCAAAATACTATATTAGTATCCCCTTGTATCTCTATAGTTTTCTATGTACTACTAATTTGATTTGAAGAGAAAACTTTCATTCCCTTATTCGATTTCCATGATCTGACCGCCATCGTTATCGTTTGATTTGATCCCACTCACCAGTTAGTTGGGTTCATTAGTATTTGCACCGATTTTGGACGAGTTGGTGGTGGAAAACCAGTCCAGGAGTGACAATATTGACGGTGGATCTCTGAGAACAGCTTGTTGGACATGATTTAGTTGAAAACATGATGATATAATGTATGTTTGTCACATTTGTAAAAACCATTTTGTAAGATACGAAGCACGAGACAAAAAGGCATCAAAAGCTTTTGTCTTCGTTCAACCTCTCCAATGTACTGCTCATTTATATTGATGCAATAATGCGTTAAATTTTCAGAAGTTTCAAAATCTAGAATGATGATACTATGATGTATCGGCCACGTTTTATTACTATTATTTTGGCTCTGTTTTCGTTGTCTGCCTTTTCTCTGAGATCCACGTAATAAAAACCTTTATAATTTTGGCACCAACCGACAACTGCCTCTTTGGCCATATTATATTAATGAGACTCAGAATCATCATCACTGATTAGAAATTTGGGTCTTTTACTATGTCTTTACGTTAAACCAAAATATGTATGTTTCTCAATGAGTCCCCTCAAACCATCTAGTTAAATACATTGGTATTTCTATATAGTTTAGCGTTTTACAATTACATGACCATGGAATAAAAGTTTTCTTTTACGATGTGAAAATGCATTGAATGATCTAATGAGCTAAGAAAGTGTCCATTTCTCCACTTCCAAAACTAGATCCAGATTGTATTAAGGAAAGAGAGATTGGAATTACAGTCATAAGAACCCAACTTCAATTATTTGCATCCTAAAAATAATTATCTTAATTGTTGTTCACAAGAAAAACACGAAAATTATTTTGAGACAGAAGTTTACCATAATACTGAAAAAAACCGACTCGTTTTCAAAACAAAAAAAAAAAAAAACGGAGTTGCTGCGCCTGCTCGTGTCCACAACAAGGATCAACACGAAGAAGATTTACATGGTTAATATAGTAATTTACCGATGATAATGTCCATGAACTACTACTGTTGCATTACTAATGTACATCAACGTCAACTGTCACACATATTTTACATATATGACAGGGCACCGCAAAAACAACTCAATTCCAACTCATCTCTAATTACACTAGTCGAATTTCCTGATAAGGGCACTGACAGATACATATTTTATATACAAGAAACGAAATGAATTTTTGTACTCACTAGCATAGCCTCAACCATTACTAGCACTATACACCTCGAAGTAGCGCTTTCTCAATTTCATCTTCAAATTGGGTACACTATATACGAATTATAACCAGATCACAGAATCGACAATCTACCTTCACCATGTACATCATCGTACCACGGCAGCCTCATTCATGGCTTTGCAGAATCTGTTCACGCACTCAAGCAGTACATCCATCATTCTGTACACTCATTCAAGCCGAATAGCTTTCCATGAGGATGCGTTGACCGACTTTAGTAACAAACTAAAGGCCGAAGAACACGTTGCTCTAACAATTGCTTCTGCTGAGCGACTCATCTTGCCTACCAACAGGACAAAAACCTGAAGGGCAAAGAACCCAGAAACATTAGCAGCTGCATCAGATAAATTTATGATCACAAGCATTTATCTTTTTGAATATGACCTGGTTGCGAAGGACTGAAAGATGTTGATCGTCTGAAAGAGCTAATATGCTGCTACACAAATAAACGGCGTTCGCCTGAATTACTGGCCAAGGGGCATCAAAAGCCTGCATATTGAAAGCATCAATGGCATCTTGACTATTAAAACATGTCACAGTTTGTTCATACCCAGTCCAAAGTTCTTCTCCAACATGAAACACTTTTTTATGCACTTCAACCCTCAAGCAAAAACATCAACTAACCTGGATAAATGCTGCCGTGTAAGTATCTACTCGTGACGGCACATTTTGAGTTAAGAGTTTAGCAAGGTCTCTCAGAAAGTCTTCATAGTCACTCCTGAATAATCCCCCAAAAGTAAGTTAACCAGACAATAACAATTATCAACAAACAGAAACAAAAGAGTTAATCTTATATATTTGCACGTGCCTGTGGTCAGAAGCAAACCGATGAGTACTTGCAAGGGCAACTATTCCATCAAATTCCATTAGCGGAGCAATGGACTTGAAGGTATTCTGGAAAAATAGAAATAAGCTAAACAACTCAGACAAAAAAAAAAAAAAGAGTAGCCCATGAATAAGTACCCTGCAGGCTTGTCTGACCCCAACATCATCATCATGTATATGAAGCACCAAGCGAGGGAAGACAACATGCACCTATACAGATAAAACAAGGTATCCACGATCAGAGAGACCAATTACAGAAAGGATCTTCTCGTCGGTGGTACTGCAAACATATTCGAAGGTCACTCATGATAACTATTTGCTTCCATCACTGTAAAAACAACATAATAAGAGCCATCTAATTTACAAGCTAAGACCCACTAAAGCAATAAGTCAATGTCCAAAATTGAACACAGTTTACATGGCAATATTTCAAACTCGGGAGTAAGGAACAACCTGCTCAAGAAATGCTTCATGATGAACACCAGTTGCATAGCTGCTAAGGGCTCCAAAGGCAACATAGGCATCTCTACGGATATTTGTATCCATGCACATCTAAAGCCAAGAGAAAAAAATTGAACATTAAGGAACCGTAAACCAGTCTTCTGATCAAGTCCTATTTTCACTGCCAGGTGATAACAACAAGCCCAATTCTTTTTTGGATAATTATAAAGGACAATTTTTTCTGTACAAGCTTTTCTGGGCCTTCCTCTCCATGAACTATAAAATTTGCTAGATCCAAAAGCAGCCCAGCATCAATATAATAAATTTACAGCCCCAGAAGTTATTTTGATCAATTTTAGCAGTTCAATGTAGCCAACTGAAGGAGTTGCATTTTATTAGCAAAACTGGCAGATTACTCTTTTGGTAATAGAGGAAAAAAGGAATCTAATATAGGAAGACAAAATCTCATGACACACAAATCTTAATGCTATGATAAAATACTTTTTTAGGTGCCACTTCGAAAAAGATCCTGTTATCAGCTCTGAAATATTAAGCATTACCATGAAAAGACAGCAGATTCCATAACTGAAAGCTTACTTGTAGGTTACGAAGTCGCACTGAAAGGCTCAGAAGAATGGGCTCCACTGCTTCATTAGAAGATGATGAGAGCACCTATAAAGCCGAAATTATATTATGGAGCAGTTAAGGCAGCAAAAAATTATGTGTATATGTTATAGGAATTACCTGTAGCAGGCATGACACGGACGTCAATTGAACAGAATGATCCGAGTCATCCAGTAAAGCTAATATTACACTGAGAATCTGACTGGTATACTGGAGAATATGAACGGATGGCATCTACAATAACAAGATCAAGAGCTCTGAGTAAAATATATAAATCTGATAAATGCAAGATCGCAACACCAGACAAGCCGAGGAAAGTCAAGCATTTTCAAATTTGGTTTATAAGTAAAAATGAACTTTATTGCGTAGGCAGACTGAAGTCCCTGTAAGGGCAAAAACTACACATACAGTGACGGAGAAAAGGCTTACATTGAAAATTCAAAGGTTGCTTTCGTGTGTTAAAAAATGTTTCTTTTACCATGACAAGAATAACGAAATAATTTTCAATTTTATTAACCAAGCAACAAAATCAGACGAAATAGTAGGAGATAACTGGCCTTAGTCTCCCTTGCACAGTGAGACTAAGAAAGGAAGTAAAAAAAAATACATTGACACAGCCAGTGAAAATTTATGGTGACTGACGTGTACAGTCCCACTATTGTCTTCCATCTCTATTCATTAATAGAAATAAGGGAAAAAGATTACCCATAAAACATAATCTGAACAAGAAAAACATGTTCCGATCGACTCCTCTACAGGATAACGATTTCTCTGACAACATAAATACATATTGTTTAAGATAGGAGTTACCGGGCGACTGATCTGTAGGCAACAACGTTCCCATAACGGCAGCCTATTTGACGCAGCCCACATCCATCAAAACTGACCGAGTAAAAAGCTCGGGAAATGATTGAAAATAATGGTCGTAAAAGCTCAACAATCCCTTCGAATAGGTGTTTAAATGGGTTTTGAGGAGATCTTCATAATCAATGGATTCTTTATTCTTTCTTCTAAATTTTTTATATATATGGTGCTTTTGATTCGTAAAGGTGCAATTTTTGAGGTCCAACCATCCAATTGAATCTGCCCCTCTCTTGTCGTGATTTACTTCTATGAACTTTGTAGAAGATTCAGTTGAAACCAATTACAGGTTTTTGTAAGAACCATGTACAGTAACAAAAAGAACAGAGAGCAAAAGGAAAAGAAGCAAAGACATATACGAACTTGAAATATTGGTCGGTGTCAAATTTTTGGTTACAAGGGTCGCAAAGACATATAAGAAGCAAAGACACCTTGGGTCGCAAGGGAAACAGCCTCTTTGTGTAATTACAAGGGTAAGGCTGCGTACAACTGACCCCCCAGACCCCAACTTGGTTGGGATATACTGGGTATGTTGATGTTGATGTTGATGTTGATGATGTCGGTGTCAAATTTTCTTGTAAAAAAGACGATTGAAGCTGATTGTGGAAGAAAACGAGCTGAAGCGGTGATGAATTTCTCAAAAGACGATGGGGGTTTGGGGAAACTAACAACCAGTGGGAGTTATTTCAGGATGGTGGTGGTGGAGGAAGTTAGAGAGATGACTGATTTTATTTTATTTTTTCCTGTTTTTCTATCAAATGAGGGAAAAGGAGGATGACAAGTGTTCAATACACCTACTAATGAGTTTCACCGAGTTTTGCCACTATGTTTATCATTTTTCAGAATTTAACTACCTGGACAAGTCCCCTTAGGCAGAGGCGCCTCACTGTCGGTGAATCATCTGATACATGGCGGCACAATGCTTCCACCATCTGCTCCAACAGAGAGCCAATTGTATCACTGTAGGAATAAGACATTTCAAGTTGTCAAGATTTGAGGAAAAATGGAGTTTAGGATTATAAGCAACCACAGATGTTGTGGCTCAGCATTCATGAAGTTTAACTCGTCTCAATGCTCCACAGTTAGAGACAGCAAAACCAACAGCAAAAGTCTAATCCAATATTTTACAAGGATTATGGAAACTACATGCCATTTGTATATTCAGCTATTTGGCACTAACATTGACCAGATTCCTAGTCAGGAAAGGAAACTCTCATGAAAACTAGAAAGAAGTTGCACAGGCGACTGTAACATTATGCACCCACAAAAAATTCTCAGAGCCAGGAAATATAACAACGTAGAAAGCCAGGTAGGTAGAGACAACAGCAGATTTACCTATAGTGTAGAAACTCAGACAATGCTGCAGCAGCTGCTTCTCTCTGGAATCTTTGGGATCTCTCTAGTGACTTGCCCACAATCAAGCATATCGAGGGAATCTGAGACACATACTCAAGAATTTTATAACTTTGCACTATGCAACTAAAGCTTGTGCTTGCAAGCCACATTTGACTTAGCACAATCAGACTTGCGATAAGTGGCCAATTTTTAGAAACAAATTAAAGATCAACTAGTCTTTCAACAAAGCAACTAGTCTTTCTCCATTCTCTCTTTTACTCAGGTAACATTATAAATTTCTCAAATTCACCATAAAAGAACCATATAACTGGAAATAAGACCCTCACTTTGGAGAAGATTTCATTTATAAGTACTCTTCCACAGCAGATATACTTCTCCCACTCATTGATCAAAAACACACTCATTGATCAAAAACAACAAGCCGATGAAAATCTAGCCAATTATTTAGAATCCATGACATTTGAGAGAGACGTTCAGGTCATCAAAATTTTACGAGGTTAAATAAAGCACATATATCATATGCGTAATAAGCAAGCAACTTTGCCCTTGAATACACTGCAGTAATAGGAACCTTTTTTTTTTTAATTATTTTTTGGTCAACAATGCATCTAAGGACAGCTGCCTTAGCTACTACAATGTCTCATGCTATCTAATCTTTCCTGACACTAATACAGATACACAACTCGGGGCAACATAAAAATATATATATAAATCCCCGTCAATACTCATTTCCAATCACCATTCTTTGTTTTTCCCCCTGTAAGATTGGAGTTAAGTAATGCTAGATTGAATATTTATTTGTGATTCTGGCTCGAGTACTATTGCCATTTTGTTCAACAAGAGAAATGAAATGCCGCCACTTGTTGGAAGGAGAAATTTCATTAATCAAGGTTGTTCGTGTGAAAGGAAGGGGGAAAGAACAAACATAACTTGTGGATAAGGTTACCTCTTTAGGTCTTTTTATTGAAATGCATCCAGCAAGATCCCCAATAACATTGATCCACTTCTCATTTTCATTATTTTCCCCATCTTTGGTAAGAATCTGCATATAAACATTTCAACTCACTAAAAGGGATTGGAAGTGTGGGTTGTTCATAATGACAACTGCTGCCAAAAAAGAGGTACCTTGCCCATTTCTAGGTCGCCAACACATTCACAAAATGCATGAAATGCTATCAACATGGCACTAGAGTAGAAGAAAGCAAATACAAAGATCAATACAACCGCAAAAGTTTGAAATTTCTGAAAATAAGCCAAAACATTGATTAAGAATGTCTGTGCACTATCGAGTGCATGCATATATGTATACCGCAGTGGCTCCAGCTGACCGGAAGTGGCTAAACCATGGCAACTTCCAAAATGGAGCACAAGAGTTGCAACAACAGAAGCATAACATTGCTCAACAGCCTTCTTTCCAATTTTACCACCACCTCTGACAAATACAATATCGAAAGGAGGTAAGAGTGTTGTAACATAACATAGAAAGTGTCACTAGTGTAATAAAATATAGACCTGAAGAATGCAGTCAGAGCAATTACAGCAGCCTGCAAAACATCCTCCAGCACATGAGTATCACCAACATGGCTGGAATTCTCTCCTTTACTCGAATCGCTTTTAAGAAGAGGAGTCTGATTCACAATGTCTATCACATGCTCCAGGAATGAATATGAAAGTACGGCATGCTGGGCAAACGCCTATTTGGTCCAAAACAATTAGATAAGGGAACTCAAAAGAAGGGAAAAATAAAAGAACCAAGAAAAAAAAAAATAGGACAAAAGAACATAGATGATCACTTGTGCAAACAGTAATACATATTATCCAAGAAAATGAGATCAGATGCCACACGTAATACACAAGACATTAGTGAATCTAACAGTTCTTCCAATGTTTTATTATATTCCTTCTTTATACATATAAGCCAGAAAATTGGGCCCACGGTAAGGGCTTTGGGTGATGTCAGTATATAATCATCCCCACAATTCCATTAATCATCATAGCAGTATATAAGGGGTGACACAAGCATTGGTTCCCTTGTCATGCTAAAATGAATTTACACTACTTTTTAATCCCTTCTGCAGTGTACCTCAAAAGATAATCAACTGTATGTTAACGGTCTAAAACATTGGACAATATGAAAAAGATAATCATCGAAATGAACAAACTACCATAAATAAAACCTGACTTACATAGAACGCATCCTGTATTGGCCAGCCACCACGTAGTCTAGAAATATCTTTGGTAGTTATGTCCCTACCAGCAGCGGTTAATACTTCATTGAAAACAATATCTGAGCGGGTGTTCTCAGCAAGAGAAGAGATCTTTAGATGGTTAAGCAGGAACAAAACCAACAGTTGCTAAAAATTACATTACACTAAAGATCACAGAGCAGAATACACAAACTTTTATAGATCACGATCGTGCAGAATCAGATACTAGCGTAACCCAGATCACAGAAATTGTTCTGTCTGACATCCCCCGCCCCCCCCCCTCAAACCCCCAAAAAAAAAAAAGTAGATAAAATAATGCGGGAGTTTATAAACCTTATCGGAAGAGTTTATAAAAAAGAAGATAGATTTCTGTTTCGAACTAAATATCTCCAGAGGTCCATCTGGAAGATAGCCTCAGCTCACTCGTGTCCCGGTCCATGCCCATAAATGACCATTTTTATAACCTTCTTCCAACACTGAAAACTCAATCCTGGATCATCAACTATTTTGACTATTGATTATTCACAAAATGTAGTAAACAAAGGATACAGCACCAAGAGTCTCCTGACGTAAATACTTCTCCGACACATGCGCTGTAGCAGATAGCAAAGATTGTGCTGTCCTGTTCAGATATTGCTAATAAGTATCCAAGTCAAGTCAACAATAAGAATCATTAACAGCAGAGGCAAAACTTTAGTGGATAAATGATTCACTATTGACAAACCTGGATACATCAGTCTCATTCAACTGATTTCCTCGTTTTGTGATAAACTCGACAACAGCTTGAATTCCGCTTTCTGCTGACTGCTTGACTTTGTCACATATGGCTGAGGAGCAACCATGCAAAGCAGCAGCAAGCTGTAAAATTGGAGTGTTATGTCAAATGTTTTTGTAACCAACCAGTATCACACTAAATACATGCTTGAATCCAACAATACCTCGTCTTTAGTAAATAAAATGCTAACAGATGAAACAACCCTGTTGAATACCTCCGAGGGGTCAATAGAAGCATCCTGAAGGTGGAAACACATCCAATAAAGATAGAAGACACATGATACTAATGAGTTTGGGAGGGAGAGGATGTTGCATTAAATTGCATCGCAAATAACTGAAAAATGCAGATAAACTTACACTTCTTAAAATAGCTATAACATCCTCAAGTGAGGTCAAGGCACTATAGGATAATTCTATATCCAACCCATTGTTGGAATTCACAGGTCTGGGCAAAGAAAGGGAGATACTAAAGAAAAGATCAAGAATCTGCACGAAGAAAAATAAAATATAAATTTGAGTAAGAAACTAAGAATAGCTTAGTACATCAAACATCCCATCTGTTAACTTATAAGTAAGCATAAATTATAAATGCAAAACATCAAGCCCGCCAAAGCAGACACACTAACCTGTGCAGAAAGTTTCCTGACTTCAGGACTAGTGTCTGCACAACGAGGAAGGTACAACATAATTCTTTCCCCCAAACACAATGCATCACGACTTGGCAGAACAAAAGCAGCTGCTTGTGGGGAAAAATTAACAAGTTAGAAGGGTCAGGCAACATTTGAGGCTCACCCACATGCATGCAGAAAACATATAACATATGCCAAATAAGTTCCAGGATGCTCACATGGTAATTTAGGGTAATTGCGTAGTAAAACGCGGTCAATTTGTTTCGGATGTGTGCAACTTCCTTGGCAGCCAAATGCACAATATCCACTAACACACAATGTCCGAAACTTGAGAAGCATCTCATGAACAGCACGGCATCCTCTCTCCCTCTGATATTCAATACCAGATGATACATAGGGATCAAGCTGTCTCAAAATGTGCAAAAGCAACTCTGCCCGACTTCTTCCATCTTCTCCACTGATAACAGTAGAAATAGCACATTGTGTGATTAGAGACAATTTGATCAGTTTCTTAAACAACAATATAAACAAAAATAAAAAATAAAAACGCAGTACAAGCACATGATCCAACAAACACATCCAGAACCAAACATATGAACTTCATGAAATTGCCATGTCCATGAAACACTAAAACACTAGGGTAAGTGGAAATTACATATACATGGTGCAGAACTAAAAAAATATAAATTTGACTCTACGATGTGAATGCAGAAATACAAAAAACCAACAAAAGATGTTGAAAATGGCAAACATACACGCCACGAGTTTCATTGCGGGTCCGCAATACGTTATGATGTTTCATGAATCAAAGAACCTTTCGAGATTGTTCTATCACCAAAATGCCAGGAAAACTAAATGTGAGAGCTGTAAGTCACATTAACTGGGAAGTCATTTTCTGAAAATCAATGGTGGAAGAAGCTCAAAAATTAAGATGTGCCTGGAAAGCATTGAATTCATCTCAATCAATAATCAGCCCATACCAAAGCTAATATTGTGGGCCATCATGTTCAGGCAAAAAACCTTACATTCGAATAACATTAAGTGGTGTCTTCCCAAAATGGTCGATAGATCTATAATTTCACTAATCCCAATACCAAATGAAAGAAGCCAAATCAAGTTAAGATAATACCAAACAACAGAAAGATAATAGCCCAAAAAGAAAGAATAAAAAAAAAAATTACCCAGTAACAAGTATTGTACAGAGGAGAGTAATTAGATTGTCAATGAGGGGAATGACGACATCAGAAGGATCATTTGGCAGACCAAAAAATCCTAAGGTAGCCTGTAAGCAAAAATGGAATGTATCAGGGAAGTCTGCTATGTTAAGTATAAACTACTTCTCCATTAAGTGAAACTAGTGACATACTTTCATAACAAGATTCCTCGTCTCAGTAGTCAGTTTAGGCTCCACCGAGACCAATGTAGTACAAGCGCTTAAAGCAAGAGACTGCACAGAGTGTAGAAGAAGCCAAGAAGAATTAGCCGAGCAAATAACTTGAAGAAAAGAAAAGCAAAGAACATGAACATGAGCACGTCTTGCACAAATTTTTATAGAAACCTGAGTACACAAAAGCTCACGAGTTGAATCAAGAAAACCATCTTCACTGTCTCGACCCATCAGAGTCAAAATATAATCCAGTAACTGGTCTCTTCTTTTCAGAGGAAAAGATGTACCAGTTTTAGAAGCATTGTAGACTGATTGACCTGCATTTGCAATAAAATATAGGCTTTCAGCAATAACATCATAGGGAGATGTACACATACAGGAGAGAGGTTGTGTAACAAGGATAGGTGGAATGGAGCAAGGATGCAGATTGTAAAATATCAAGGATATCATCAATTTGATACATTTACAGCACCACAAGATCACAATCACATCAATTTCGGTAAATCAAGAAGGAAAACAAAGCATACAACATTAAACAGTTCCTGCAATTAGCCACTGTACGACTATAAAAAGCTAGGAAGATCCGGTCACGACTTCACATCAGCAGGGAACTTCAGAGGATATTTTAACAATTATACATGGAAAACATAAAAACAATTTCTACATCAACACTGAGGATCAAGAACATTACATTGGAAAACAATGACTATGGTTAACAAAAATATCAGAAGAATAAGAATCTCGGAAAAGCGAGGGATAAAGAACATCAGAATACGTCAAGAATCAAAGAGTTCAATACGGAGGACATGAAGAGCACCAAAGGAAGTTAAAGATGAAGTCACTGAAAAATGACTAGAGAATGAACAGGATAAATGATCCAAAGAGATACCAACCCAGTAAGTTAATAGCAGTAATAACAGCCTGCTTTGCTGTTGGATGACGCACATGGAGAAGATGCGAAAGCATATTAGTTCCCTGAGAGAAACGCAACAAGTTTCAGTTAATAGACCATGACGTACGACACTAATCATAACACAACCACGAAAATTCAGATACAGAAAGTCAAGATGTCGTGGTTATAACTCAAGGCACAAGTGAACATGCGAAAAATTTCAAAAAATGACCATAGCTCGCAAAATAGTTCCTAGAGATTAACTACTTCAAGAAACCATGAGGAGAAAAGCCTATAGCTAATAAGCCAAAGATCAATCGTCTAGAATTTAATTAAATAGTATGAAAGAGAACTAATGGCAAATGCCAGATGATTAAATTTAGCACTTACATGATATGCCTAAGGTAACAATCTCGAGACCTATACTAGCAAACAAATGCCAGATGACTGTTTCTTAGCACTTCACAAGAATACCTCAGCTAACAAACAACTTATTCACGATAGTTCGGCAACTGTGTCCAGCATAACATTGAACTCACGAGTGAAATACAAAGCTGGGTTAAGCCTGAGGGATAGGCATATATGACTACAAATACAGGATTTGCAAATACAGTGCCTCAGCACAACCCATTGTCACCCCCTCTCCAGAAACAACCACTCAAAGGTTACGGCTTGGATCCAAAGTACAGTAAAACTCAATAAACAGTACTAAAATCATAAAATTCCAATCAATATCAAGGAAAGAAAGAAGCTTTACCACAAGTGCATCAATTCTAGCTTCAATAACAGTTGTTGGTGCATATTTTGCAGCATATCCATACATTAAGGCCAAGGCAGCATGAATATCATCAGCTTCCTCCATTTTAGCTTTGTCAGAAAAAAGTGACAAGATCCTGCAATGGACCCACCTTATAGTATTAACATACTCATGCAGAGATCGAAGATATTTGCAGGCATAAGAGAACATAACTATGCACTTGTGTGCATTTGACAATATATGTCACCAGTATACCAACATAAGAAATAAGACAGGTAGAAACACTATCACAGATGGTAATTCCAAAACTATTTGAGCATAAAACTTTTTTTTTATCAAAACTGTTTACTTCAGCTTTCTTGGTAGGAGTCATTCTCTTGGCACATGGACTTAATCCATGTAACATAAAAGTAACCTTAAGGAAAAAGAATACTAGAAAGAAACAACCACCACTGTACTCCTATTCAACAAACTAGCCTCAAGGCCCAGATCTCGGTGCTCCTTACATGTATAATAATTATTTTTTGCCACCATGCCAGGAGATAACAGAGTCCGGCTTGAAAGTAATACAGGACAGGTTTCGATCATGGTCGGAAATAGGTCTTCACATTTACTTAACATTGACACCCAGCAGGACAGCAAATATGTCTGTATGCCTATTGAATAGAATATCATACCTTTGAAAGAAACTTTGACCAACATTATCAAGAATTTCTTTGAGCTTCTCCAAGACCGTGTCCAAGTGTGATGCAGCAACCTGTCCGGAGTCCATAAGCATCAGCATAAAATGTTCAGATCAACCACAAGATTGCCTAATGAAACCGTAAATTCCATAATCATTCATGTAACTAGGATACTACAAGGAAAAAGCTGAAATACCAATCCCATGGCCTTTGCCAAGCCAAGTCTATTCTTTGGCAAAGATATATTGGATTGCTTGTACATCCAATCAATCTTAGCACAAACATATGCTCTATCATGAACTTTTTGCAGCAAAACACCAAGACACCTGCACCAAAACACACAACTTAAGCCTGGAACTTCTAAAAATCTACATCTGAACACATTTAAGTTCGACATCAAGCGACTGCAGTTATAACAAATTGGTTTGGGAAAGAAAGACTATCAGTTTCTAACAAAGAAAGAAGTCGCCCGACCCAGAAACTTGAGCAAGATTTACACAAAAACTCATGAGAAAGACCAGATATAATAAAAAGTCCCTTAAGAAGTCATAAGAAGACCCCTTCGATAAAAAATTTATGAACTCTTTGCTCCAGTCATGCACTTTTTAAGTTCAGTGACAAAGCATACCAACAAGTTCTTCGAAACCATCAAAGTAATATCAACAGGCAAAAATCACGATAAATACCTGTGAAGCAAGGCAGAATGTTCATCCTCAGCTGTGTAAAGTTCATATTGCTTGGTAAAAGCATTTCCCAGAGAAACTATCCAATCAGTATCTTGGATCACATCCAAAGACTCTGCGAGGAACTGTCAAACAAAATAGAGATAAAATGTGTCACTCAGTCAAGGTTACTCTTGGAAATCAAGTCCCTACTATCAGAGAGCAAATCTGTCAAACCTATCCTAAACTACAAACCAAGTTTTACAGTTTACATCTTGGGAAGACTACCAATATAGACTATAGAAAGAAGGAAAGAAAACAATGGCATAACATCAATGTTCTCAGAAACATAGAACTATGGTTAGGTTGACTCTGAAACATGATTCTTCAACTAAAAATAAAAGGAATTAAAGTAAAATTCTGACAACTTACATTAATAATCATGTCATCCCAAGTTTCCTGATGCAATGGATCTTCCTTCAGTTCTTCAGTGTCACTCACATAGGCTTTCATTTTTGGAATCTAGAGCTTACCAAACGAGAGGACCAATTAGAACTGAACAACAATAATTTCTGCTCGGAACTAGCATAATTTTTTAACTAGTTCGCAGAAAAAAGAACTGCACTGTCAAATTGACTATCTCCACCATCATTCTATATCAAGTTTATAGCAACTAGATAGCATATTCACAACGAATTTCTCATTTGAACCTCAGATGTTACTAAGAAAACTTAATTAAAAATATTGAAGCTGTTTTTCTTTTTTTTCTTTTTTTCTTTTTTTTCTTTTTTTTTTGGAGCGCATGTCCGCAAAATTGAAGCTGTACTTCAATCTGATCCAACATGTATCCATCATATTGCTGAATTTTTTAACTCAGCCAACCCGACACCAAACAACCATTCAACATTCGGCAGTACGTATAAAACTGCTTATGCTGTCTGAATGATTATGGTTTGAGAGAAAGAGGACATTGTAAAAAGATAATTCAAAGATTAATCAACAGTATACCTCGTCTTGCCAAAACAATGTAACATTCTTTGGAAAAAGAGGAGCCAGAAGATACAAGACCTACAAGTACAAGAAAAATAAAATTAAAATAAACCAAACGCAGTGATTAACAATTTATTCCCAAAACTATATCAGGATAGAATATCCAATACATTAAACAGTTTAATTCAACAACTGTCATCAAGCATCACGGGGCCTTTTCTGCCAAATCGTATTATACAATTTCTTAAAGCCACAACATCCTATTCAATCTATCGGCCCCAAAACAAGGAAAACGTACCGTAAGAATTTGAGTAGCCAACTGATCTCTGGCTAAAGGATTGTGTAGAAGTACTACTAGGCGAGCGAAAAGCTCCTGATGGAACATAGAATTTCAAATGTCACTTTCTTTCCAATGGCAAACATTACATCACATTTTAAACAACATAAACTAGTACCTCTGGAGGTGGAATATCAGTCCGAGCTTTACATTCAGAGAGCATGGCACCACTTTGAGAAGATCTATGTCTGCACAATTCTGAGATGCACCTACAAACCTGTGAAAGAGATTCTGCTCATTCAAAAGCTTAAGCAATCCTAGTTTTTTTTCTTTTTCTTTTGAGAGAAATATCTCCAAGTTAAATACAGAACTTTTGCAATCAACCACCCGATGCAGGATAACATGGGGAACACGGTGTCTAAAAAGAACACCAAGAAAATACGTGAGCAGAATCCATTATGAAGAAACTACTGTAAGAAATATAAAGTAAATCCTACCGTGGAAACTGCTCCTGTGTAGAGACGAGGTATAATCATCTTCAGCAAAAATGGCCAAAGAACAAGCTGCAGCTCCCAGGAATAGAAAGCAATACACAACAAAGTTAAACCAATAAAGAAGCACAATCAAAGTCTCAAGCAATGAAAAACCACATTCAAAGATGTAAACAACTGTATATAACTACCATATATTTGAAGAATTAACATACCTCCATTTCTGGGATGGTCACAGTAATCAGAAGAAGACCTTTCTCACAGATAGCACGTAATTCCCTAGGAGAAAAGCCTCCAGCTCTCATCTGTGAACTCTTAGAAAATCAGAAAGACAAATATGGGTATTTGTACATTGATTCTCACAAGTAAAATAGCCAGTGTCTCACAATACAAACACATTCATGGCTGGGGCAGCAAGAAACATTATTCTCAAGCCTAGGTCTGACTAATTATCTTTGTCTGATTTCTTTCCTTTTCTCGGAAAAATGGAGACTGAGATAAGAGTTTATCATTCCCCAAACAATTTCTAAGTGAACTAGATTGTACTTTCTACAAATGATGAAATCTACTCAATGCGCAACGCAAACCTCACAGAACAACTAGAAAAAAGAATTCAAAGTAAGATCACAAACCTCTAATTTTTTGTGCAGAAAGGAATAATGAGCACCACTTGGTCGAACGGCTTCCTTAGTATTTACTGAATCTTCGATTGCACAATTTCGTACAAGAAATTCAACAAACAATTCGCCAGATGGACCGATTAAGTAGCAATGAGACGCCATAACAACGATCAACTAACACAGAAACACATCAGAAGCCAATAGAGAGGTTAAATCTGAAAATCATTCATGATAAATGTCACAAAAAGAAACATAGCACAAATAAAAGCGTCAAATATAGAAGGTGCCTCACCTCAGCAAGAGCTTTCCGTACTCCCCAACTATGCTCATCCAGCAAAAGCTTCACAGCTTCTATCAGTGAAGGCCTTCTACTGTGCCAAGCTTCAGACAACCTTCACAACAAACTAAAAAATTACAAACTTTCAGAGAAAAAATGCAGTCGCAAAATAACAGATAAAGAATGGACATGCACCTGGGTAGGAGATGCTTTAAGACACTAAGAGCACCAAAAGTCAGGTGTTCTTCTTTCAACCTGCATTTCTGGTCACAGAAACTAGTACATTCATAAATCCATCAAGACAAATTAAACAAAACTTGGAAATACAAAAACGTTTTTCCATAGTAGTTATCGTGTTTCCCTTTACACAGTAATGGGTTCATTTCTTCAGAAATTACAACATGACAACAGTTGAATTATTCGAAAATCCACAGCTAAGAAGAAACAACACTCACATTAAGAAGAAACGTGAATAAATCTTCAGGGTAGACCATCCCAACAGCTAAGAAGCAATGTTGAACTTCATTATATGTCTGACAATAACAAAATGATGAAGGGTAAAAATGTAAGTAAATAGAAGCACACGTCAGAGACGGAGCATGCTAGAAGGAAAAAAAAATGAGTTTAAAGAAAGCAAATGGAAACTTTTGCGGTAACTATTAATGAACTCGATCTTTACAAAACGAATGTAATTCCTACTTGGAAAAATTTGATATTTTATCTATGGAAGAGAATAAAATAGGGCCAATAAAACAACACTACAAAATGAAGGTTTAAAAATATGCGGAAAAGAACGACTAAACATTGGTTCCCTTGTCGAATGAAGTTTCTAGTACATGAACAGCACAAGAAGATTGGAAAGAAGTTGATACAACCAATAAAACCAATGGTGATCTCAGCAGTTTGAATTAAATGCTTCTAATTGGATGCACGCTAGCAATAACCTAAACTGTGATAACAAACCATCACCTTCAACCCCACAGAAAATTCTGAAAGTTCTTTACTGTCATTGCTGATGCAAACCACAGGAAGAAGTGTTGATAAAATGACAGTCAGGTCCTGTAAAAAAGCCAGGAGAGTGCGCGTGAAATATTTGACTCGTTGCATTTCCACCACCATCATAACTCAACATAAGCTGAAGCTAATTACAATATCAATCTTCTTCACTTTTACAACATGCTGTACACCAAACTATACTATAATAATCATCACAGGGTTTTTAAAATATTTTTAGCCACGGTGCATTATCTGGGCTTAGGCAGCATATTTGACAATCATGGTTATATTTGCTCTATTGTTTCCTTGTTGTTCAGTAAAAGACAATATTAAAATAAGCATAACTTGACTCAGAGATGACAAAATGGGGCCCTTGTACAGTGAGGCCTGCAAAGCTTGAAACTATCAAATGATTACATTCTTACCCAAGCAAACATTAAGACGAACTTCATTAAACCTAACCCAACAAAATAATTGGCCAAGCAACCAAAAGTGAGGAGAAAAGTAAGTACATAAACAGAGGACTCATTATTTACTCATTGACTATCTGACATAAGAGGCAGGCCTCATAAAAGTTGCCTCTAATATCAACGTAAAGCTATCAGACATCAAAGTTGAAATGACAAATAAATACTAATGCTTTAAGGTATCTGGATAATAGAAACAAAATGGGTGAACCTTAAATCCTAGAACAAAACGTCAAAAACAAGCCTAAATCGAGAAAATCAGGGCTATGGCGTTGCAATTGCCTATAATGCCATCACGAAGCAGAACATCTAGCAGCCTCAAATAATACATATTCCAAATTTTTCACGGAGCAATTGATCAAAAATCAACTAAGCAGCTGCTGACCTTTCTCTTACCTCAAAATCAAGCAAAGGTGGACCACTTTCAGAAAATAGTGCGGCATTTAAGAGATTGTGGAGCGTACAACTAGCCACTAATGAAGCGTCTTGATCCTTTTTATACCTGAATTATAAGACAACATGTGAATCATAAAAATCCTGCAAACGAAAAGAGAGTAGGACCTTACAGTACAACAGAAATTAAAACCATCTGTGTCCCATTCAATGTGCGCAAAGAACTAATTCAAGTGATTCAGGTAATAACTAACAAAACATACACTGTCAAACCTAGCATACATCTTACATGTCCAAAATAGTTGGAATAAGTCTTGGTAAGGCCACCTTCAACTGGGTTCGAGTAATTAGACCAACCATCTGACCTAAAGCTTCAACTGTAGCACTTCGGACCTGTAGAACAGAGCTCCATCAAGTACAAAAACTCATCTGTTTTGATTAGGCTACGACTAAAAAGGGAGAGAGGCAATACAAAGAAAGGAAACCATCCACCATGCAGGAATTAGGTTCAACATCATAGGTATACATTTATATTAGCAAGACTCATAAAAAATCTAGTAATTGTCCAGATAAAACAAGGAAAAAATAAAAAATCAGGCTACTACTAGAAGTCTTCTAGTCAAGGCATGTGTTGGGAAAGAAAATATATACACTCTGTCATGGTTAAGAAACACAAATGATATGTAGTGGGTGAGTAAGAACTCATTGTGACCTTAAGATCTCGCGAAGCTGCCCAAACTCTCAATAGAAGTTCAAAAGCTGAATTAAGGAAGGACCTGTAGCGCCATACAGATTCATGTTAGAGAAAGTAGCAGCTCATAAATGAGGATTAGAATAAAATTAATAAGAAAGTTTATTCTCACATGACATCGCCATCAATAACCGAAAAGATAGGGTAGTCCACACTATACTGCCAACAAGCCTGACACCAACACTTGAATGCTGAAAAAAAAGATGTTCAAAGTCCCACAAATCAAAAAAAGGAATCTTAACTATAACAAGTACATCAAATTTAGATGTATGAAATTAGATATTTTCCTAGAATGAACCGAAAATTAAACCCTACAGAGCTCAAGAACAAACCAAACTTCAACATTTCAGTGAGCTCAGCCAACACTAGATTTCCAAACCCACGCCCAAAAGTGTAAATTACAAAGTATTTGCAAACAGCATTTGTGCCAAATAATCATGAAGATTAGAAACGGAACAATAACACAGCAAATGAATCATGCATATCCAGCGTGCCGCAAAAGGTTATTAGTGTACCATTAGCAAAAATCGGCCTGTTCATGTCCCTGACATTCCCCAGAATGGGCAGAACGCGAGCAAGTACGGCTTTAAGCCTTGGAGTGAACTGCAAAGCTTCCAAAACACAAGCATAGTAAAACATCAGATCATTTAGTTCAGTAACCTATCACAAGCATACCCCAAAACCAGTAGGAAATTACATCCAAGGAAAAAGCACAAACCGTCAACTGAAGCAAAGTCGGCAAGTACTTGAACCATAGCTGGAATACATGAACTAGCCCCAGATAGATGAAGAAACACTTCTTCCATCATCTGCAGAAAGAACAGAGCTCTCAATCCAAATAAGCATTCTATACAAAACAATGCACGCAACTAGTCTCAATTATCTTCCCATTTAATGGGAAGAAAACAAGAACAAACATCTAACACTAATAGAGACGTCTAAGATTTTACTAGTCTTTTAAATCCTATATCAATATCAAAATTACATATGCATGCCAGGGAGAGAGAGAGAGAGAGAGAGAGAGAGAGAGAGAGAGAGAGAGAGAGAGAGAATATAAATTGGAATAATCATTAACAATACTTGACAGGAAACAAAAGTTTTAAACAGCTATACTTTAGCAGATACATCAGTAACAACTTATAACCTAATCTACCATAGAAACAGGTTGCAAGGCAAGATGACAGTCAATTTCTTCTACCAAATTTAACCTTTTTGCACACCTATACCTCAAACAAACACGAAATTTGCTAATGCAAATAAGGAACTTCTGGTTAATATGGTTGATTGATAGAATCATATCGTACATTCAGAAGACAATAATATGTAAATGCAATTATGCGTGAGAACCAGGTTCATAATATGATGGGGATAAACTGGCTGATAACACGAGAAACTTCTCAAACATAACCACGGTACAGAGCATTCCATTCTTTATCGGGCATTAGAGAACAACAGAAAGCTAAAAAAGCAAACCCACAAATTTGGAACATGGACTGATTTAAGATAGTTCCCAGTTCTTCAGTCTTCTTAAAGCTACTATCGCCTAGATGCTATAAGATATCAACAAGTTTTACCTGTCAAGATGTGATTTAATTCATCCAACAAAAAAAAAACAGTATTAATCAATCAAATCATGACGTTATGTGGTACATAAGGTTATAACCTAAATTGGAAACTCAAGCCTCTCAGCCTTTTACATACTCATATCTACCTATAAAAGCATAAATCCTACTGAAACGGAAATTGCACCGCAATGAAGAACAGCTCACCAGGTCAGGTATATGCAAACCAATGGCCACAAGTACGCTGGCTGCAGCTCTTTGCCAATCAGCGTTAAATTCCTTATCAAATCAGTAAAAGAGATCAGGAATAAATTGACAATAAAAATGATAACAATCATAGTATCAACCAAAATCAGGTTTCCACCTTGGATGAGATCAGCTCGGCTGTGGCAATCTTAGCGAGCTTCGTCATGTAGGAAGGTTCAACATCTCGTTTATCCAAGGCACGTATGGCCACCGACATTACTTGAAATAAGTTTCCAATATTCCCAAACCTCTGCAGGATAATCAATTTTGTTTTCACCATGTATTAATCCTAACTTCAACACTCTCATTTTAGGATAAATTTCGATTTAACAGAAAAGAACGTACCCTCCGTCCACCTCGGGATACAATGGAGCATGAATCAAGAACCAGTAGCGGATTCCTAGTTAACCAAAGCAAACCAAAAGAAAAAAAAAAAAAAAACAACACCTCAATAAACCTTCAACGGAAAAAAGAGTACTGCAAATTCAGAAATTATGCACAAAATTCGCAATTATGTATTCCTAAAAAGAGTGAAAAGAGAAAGGCGTAATACAGGGGAGCTATGTCTTTAAGAGCAGCCATAGAGGCTTCCCTAACCATGGGGGACTCATCCGCAAGCGAGGACACCAGAACTTGAACTGCCTCTGAGGAATTACAATCAAAATTGGAAGGAAAACGGTCAGTATTCCAAGGAGTTGAAAATTGCATTGGAGGAGAGAGTTAATGAGAAGGAAAAGAGGATACCGGGGGCAGGGATAGAGTTGCCGGAGCTTGAAGACGCCATCGGAAATTTAATGTAAAAGGGGGAGAGATCACCGGGAAATTGATCAGGAAAGAAAGTAATGTGGGCCGGGAAATATATATTGGACAACCCACGACGGGGTTTCTGATTCAGGAAACCTCAAAAATAAAATACGAATTGTGTGTTATTGCGGTGAATTTTTTCTTTTTTAACTTTTTTGTTATTTTTGAAGTTTTTCTTTAACAGCTCACTGGCGGGTAGACTTTGGCTTACAAAAAGCAGGCTTTGTTTAAGCAGTTTTAGCGATATACGTTTGCCATTCTTCCCCATTCAAAAGTGATTTTCTTCGCTTTTTCACATTTATACACTTTTTTCATTTCTTTTGTTATCCGAAGTAGAAAAGTAAAATACAAAATAATTACACAATTACATTGCAAGAAATATCACAGTGATACTAAAGTTTGCTATAGACTTTTGTTTTGTCAACTTAACATGTCAGTCCCCACTCAATATACATTAGGAATATCATTACACAACAATTGTCAATTTTTATCCCAAACTATTTTAAAATCTCAAAAAAAGAGAAAAAGCAATGAGAAAAAACACACAAAAAAAAAAGGATAGTAACAATGATTTTAACACAATAATTAAGTTCATAAGGGGGGAAGCAATACAATCATCACCTTTTATTAAGCTGCGCTTGCAATTGAATGTGTGTGACAATCAAAATCCCGTACAATTGCATGTCCCGATTGAGTAACATGCATGATTTGTATTTTTATGATTGTTTTTTCAGGGACAAAACGTGATGGTATAATCATTAGGGTGGATTTGACAAGTGAACAAACTGGATGGATCATCGTATGCGTAACTGTAAGCTTGCGGGCACTGATTCTTGAAAATCAATGAGTAATTCGTCGGTTTACATTTTCCCGGCGTCGAGAAATCACCGGAGCAGCAGTACTGCGGCTGCTGGAACGCGACGCACGCGCTCTTGCAACCAATCATGCCACCGTCGGAGTTATAAACGCTCAGTTCTTTAGGACAAGCCTTATTGTTGATGTCCACCGGGCAACTGATTGCGGTGCACCCGCCGTTCTGAGGCGTGACGCTAATTGGCAAATTGAATCCGTCGACGAGGCTGATGTCGTAGAAATCTTTGCCGGCGTCTCCGAGGAGGGTGAATTCCGCCAGGCTCGCCGGCGGTGCTCCGCCTCTGCCGCCGCATTCGATTTGATTCGACCCGCAATCTCCGGTGAGACAAGTGAATTTGCCTCCGGAGTTGGAGCAAAATGACCGGCCCCAGAATCGACCGGACCAACCCGGCGGGACGTCAAGTGTTTTCGCGTGTTGAGAAGCTAACTCGAATCCGGTTAGGATTTGAGGGCCTTTGCTGGTTAGGGTCGCTGGCCAAATTGTATATGGGCAGTGATTTATGACTGTGAACTTGGTCGAAAATGCGTCTGCAAAAAGGAAATTGAGATTGTAAATAAACAATTTAACTCAAAATTTCTTTCCCCCTTTTTTCTTTTATTGAGATCTCTTATTTTTTTTAAAAAAAAAAAAAAAGGAGAGCAAAGAATATTTCAGTGTTTGAAATCAACCGGATTATTAAATTTTCAAACTAAAAATACATCTTACAAGAGAATAGTAAAAAGAATAAGTAGAAGATGACTAAAAATTCGATCTCCATGGCCAGTTTATGATATTCTTAGGCAGGATCGGGAGAAAAAGAACCTCTGCTCGTGGTTCGATCTGCCTGAAGTGTGGTAATACACTGCCACTATATATTGTGTAAGATTTTTTGCAGAGTTAAGGATATACTAAAGATAATAATGATAATACCAATTACACATTGTGAATGACATACCATAAAATCAAATAAACTTTATTATTTTTTTCTTTGTTCCTATATTCACATGTTAACTGAACGGAGAAAACAAACAACACCAGTGAATTGTAAGTTTTTTTGCTGTCTTATCTTTTCGGTAGAGATTATCTATTTCAAATTTACACATTTTGAGGACATGAACACATAATACTTCAAATTTTGCCTCTTCCGTTATAACAAAAGAAAAGAAGAAGAAGATATTATCGGTTTATAATTAATCGCATACCTTTTTTTATTTGAAAAAGATACAATTTTGGACCTGATATACTTTTGAACATTGGTCAATTAGTGATGAATTCTTGATACAATGTCAGTTAATACGTCGTACGTGTATCGTTTTTTGTCACTTGAAAAAGTCCTCGACACTACGACATACACCGTATTCATTGTGAAATTGCTAGTACTATCATTTATCTAAGCCACGATTTTTATGGTCATGAATGATTACCCAAAGTCTATCGCTTAGAATTTTGTCAACTGACGATCAATGGGAAAAAAATTTCAACCAAAATAGATAGTGTTTTGTGTGTGTAACAGTGTTGACTCCATTTTTCAATTGGAAGTGTACAAAATTTCATCTAGTTTTTTTTTTAAAAAAAAATGTTACCTGTATAAATTTCATCTGATTGCACAAACATATAAATGGTATGTGCATTGAAATTTAGAAAAAAAATTAAACGCTGCTTTAAAAATCGGCCTAAGAAAATTGAAACATGCTCTATTTGTGGGAAAAAGTAATGACATGTTTTGGATGGCGTTGACAAGTGAACAGGTCAGAGGCATTATCGTATGCATATGAAACTGTGGTTCGATTTTAGATGGAGAGTATGAGATTGTGGACATTTCTACGAAGTTATTAGAACAACCCAAAATTAGATGTTAAACCTGTTTGATAGACGGGACAGAAAAATTGTCAAGAAAATAAATTATTATGATTTAAAATAAAAGTTTGACAAAATCAATAGTAAATCAAGCGATATAAAACTTGCAGTTCATCATTTGTAATGGGGGCCAATCACTCCATACCAGCCATATATAAGAACCCATTCAAGAAAATAACACGTAAATAGAGTCCACTTTTCTAAATAGATTTGCTAATAATATGACATCTTTTCCAATTCAAAAAAAAAAATATGACATCTTTTTGAACAAAAATTATCGATTATACAAATTCTCAATAAATTCCTAAAGTTGATGCTTACCAAACATCATGAATGGAGGCTATCATCTTGAACATTCCATCCTGCAATGGGTAGCACTGTCCATTGTACTGTATTTGATTAGTAGTAGTACCAAAAAAATCATCTTGAAATCCATCTAAGTCATTCAACTGATAATTCAAATCTCTTTCCAAATCACTCTACACCTTAGGGGCACTCTGAACTTCCTTCTTCTCATAAGCACAATCAGGCGAAAATACCTGCTTAGACCTGATCGAATCCGTGTGATCAACTCCGTTTCCTTGATAGTTCGCGGGTTTTGTTGTACCACTTTCGGGGTCGATTTTTCAGTATTTTTCTTTTTCTCCTGGTTTGGATCATCTTTACCAGAAGGAGACTGCTTATTTGAGCCATCCTCTGTTTTGGGTTCTGGAGCATTGGTCTGAGGAGGTGGTTTTTGAGCCTCATTTGCAGGCTTCTGATTAGGTGAGGTGGATTTGTTTTCGTTTGGCTTCTCTTCTGGGGTGATTAGTTTGGTTCCCTTATATAGAGTATGCCCTCTTCGAATTTTGCATTAATCTTGTTTGCGTCGATATTAGATGAAAGTAAGAACTCCCTCTGAAATCGAATGGTTTTGTCTTTATTTCTCTTTCTTCGCAGATCCTCAAGGCATTTAATGAAGTGAACTGGACGCTTAGCTTTTCCTTCTTAAATTCTGCACGACAGTCAATTACAAAATAAAACCCAATAAAGAAATAAATCTCAATCTTGAAATGAAGCACAGGTTTTTTGCCTTCTTATCTACAACTTCTACTGTTGGTAAATGCCCAGTCATCAAGCTTCAAATTGGTCTTCTTCCCAGCGGACCTGTCAACATTTGTCCCAGCGGACCTGGTAACATTTGCGATAAGGTACTCGTGCATAATCCAATTGGTTTTGATTCTCCAGGTTTTGATTCCTTTTGGAGATTTTCCGCCATAAAACACCCGCCCCTTTTTAATTACCCGTAGCTTTAGCTTCCGGATTGGCTTATCGGCTCCAGTAACTTTTCAATAATCGGTTCCGGTGGCCCTGTTCGGGCGTGACTTATTTGATGTTAGTAAGCAAACAATAACCAAAGCCAAAGCATGTAAATCCACAAACATAAAGCCTAATTCAGGGATTTCTTCTCTGGCGGTTCTGAGATTGATATTAGAAATCGAATTTAGAAATAATAATACTGTTACCTTGATGAGAACAAACTGGAAAGGGGTGGTAGAGGAATATGCCATTAAACCTTGATTGTAATGATATTGTGGATGTGAAAGATAATAGCACAAAGTTGGGTCAATCAAATAAAATTCTGATAGCGTTGGGATTTTGATTTTGATTTTGCAAGTGATTAGTTAACATAAACGATTAGATAAGATTTTCTTTGTTGACTTAGTTTAATTTCTTGAGATAAGATTTTCTTTTTTCTAAATTTAAAGTTGATCAATTAAGATTTGATATGTTACGCATATACAGAGTTAGAATCGAATTATATTTGATGTAATGACCTTCAAATGTGGGGAGGATAATAATGAAACAATAAACAGAGGTATATTATATATTTTAACTGGTTTATTTTTTTTTCCTTTTAAATAAACCAAAAATTGGAAAAAATTGTCAGTCATACGTGGTAAGTGGAAAATTACACCAGTTTTCTCTCTCTGGATTTTCCATTATTAAGTTATATAAATAGATTGACAGAAATGAGTGCCCATTCACTTGCCAAGTCAGCATTTACATTTACCTCATTCCTTCTGGCAATGAAGTTTTTAGAAAATGAGTGGACCAGCTGGACCCAACTTTTTAACTTTCTAAATTTATTTCATTTATTGAAATAATAAAATCAGTAAGTTTTAATTTATACAGATCCACTAGAACTGACGTTTACTCTATCACAGTAAAGTAAATACAGAGATAACGTAAGTTTATTTATCTCCTCTACCCAATGGGAGAGAGAGAATAAGGGGGTAACTGGCACGTATTTAAGTGCCAATTACCTTGCGCTATGGATGCTTTTAGACAGTAAATTGTGGGGTAATTGTTGCAAACACGTGCTGCTTGGCGAATTGTTTGAAAAGTGGCTGTTTGATTATGTACCCAAATTTTGTCTAGACTCCAGGACCAAGTATCCAACTCACATAATGCATCGGACTGAACCTAGGACTTGCTCTCTTTATATTTAGCCAGTCGAACGTGTAGTCTCTCTTTTCAGTTTTCAGTTATTCTGTGTTTCTTAAGCTTTTCCCCCCTACCCCAGTGTGCGTTTGCGGCTTATGAGACTAAAGAAATAGAGCCCACGAGAGACTGGTCGACCGTTCCGCGGGAGATCTTGGTAGAGATAGTGTCAAAATCTCTTTGGGCTTTTATCTCAAAACTATTTGACAATGAGTGGGGTGGCCTTTGGCATTTATAAATAGGTGACAGATTCTTTACAACACCGATGTGGGATTCTTTGTCCCAACACCTTCTCTCAAGTCCAATGGGGTATTTGGCCCATTGGATTTGCACAACAAAACATAATTCACCAGATATATTACTGGATCAGTCCACAACTCTGAGTATACTACCGGGTCAATCAACAAGCCCGTACACACGGATACATACTCCGGATATACTATCGGATTAGTCCACAAGCACACCCGTGCGCACGGAAGCGATTGACGCAAGTCCAAGGCACACGAGTCCAAGCCCGCACACGAGGGTCCATAGTTATCACAGGTCCATAGATCGTGGACTCTGATACCATGTCAAAAGTCATCTTGAACTCCCATCTCAAAACCAATTGGCAATGAGTAGGGTGGCCTTTGGACTTATAAATAGGTGACAGATACATCGATGTGAGATTTTTTGTTCCAACAGATAGCCGCACGTATATAGTCGCTGGAAGACTTCATGGCTTATAGAGGAGTTAGTGCTTGTTGGCGAGAAGCAGCAGTTAAAGATACCTTTGCCAATTCCTGTTCTGGGATTCTGTTGCTTATGCTTGCAGATAAAGGACAAGAAGAAGGCAACAGTAGTGACGAACGCGAATTTTACAGCTTGCCCAAAAGAAAGATCGCCATGAGATTATCACTCCCGGAGGCAAACGGTAAACGTTGTATGGAAGCAAATTTTGGCTGGGTCTTAACCATGGCCTCCTCTAGGGAACTTATAGTTTGTTGAAACCTCTTTTGCGGTAGCCAATCCAACTTCCCAACTTCAAAACCATCAAAGAATACAAAACCGCTTCCGTCTTTTTCATTTGTGACCAGAACAATTATGTCGGCCAATCCATCTTTTACATCGGATTTTGTTTTGGCCGTATTTCTGGGTGGAGGTCGATTCTTGTGCATTTGGAGGCCTGGCGACTTGCAGAATCACCCGGGATGATGTTTTTTGATGTTAAATTTTAACGGACAGATTTATGTTGTTGATTATTCAGGCAGAGTTTGGACTTGTGACAATTTAGCATGTGATGATAGCAAGGTTGCCACCGTTCTGTTTGAAACTGATCGGATGCTGTTTGGGGATAGTCAAGCATATTTTGTGGAATCGTCAAAGGGCGAATTGCTAGTTATTGCGCGGGATGGTATTTCCTTGGATGACGATTATAGCTATGGGGCTACTCATTTTGCAGTCATTCGATTGGACGTCATGAAACGTGATTCTTACTAGTTTGGGTGACGATGCTATATTTGTTGGTTACAGTGCTGCTATCTCTGTTGTCGCCTCAGCATTTCCGAATGTGATCAAGTCCAACTGTATATATTTCACAGATGACTGTGAGGAAAGTTACTTCAATCATGAAGGAGGAATGGACATGGGAATTTATAACGTAGAAGACGCGAGTATTGAAAGGTTCAGTGATATTGAGTCCATTAGACCTATATGTCCGCCAATTTGGATATCATTCTGATGATGCACGAACGTCTATGAATCTTGTGTCGTACAAATTCTTGATGCTGTTTTGTTCAATAATATTAGCTATTTAGAGATTTTCCTTAAGTATTTGCATAGGCCAGCTTTTGTGTACTTCTGAATTTACATCAATATAGTTTCTATTACATCAGAGTAAACTGAAAATCCAAACTTCAAACTTGCTGAACTCTATATCTACATTATCGTAACTTTGAAAAGTAATACTTGTCACTCCCCCTTCTAAGAAAAAAATTCAGTTCAAAATGTTCAATATGAATTAATATTTTGTATGGGACGGAAGGAGTACAAAACACTGCTATATAATGAAGAGATGAAACATGGTCCATTATGGGCAAAATGTAATGACATAGTTAGGATGGCGTTGACAGGTGAAGAGACTTGAGGGATCATCATAGGCATATGTATAAGATTGTGGGCATTGCTGCTTGAAAATTTCGGAATAATACGTGGGCTTGCATTTGTCCGGTGTTGAAAAATCTCCGGTGCAGCAATATTGTGGCTGATTAAAGGCAATGCAAGCACTCTTGCAACCGATCACACCCCCGTCGGTGTTATAAATACTCAACTCTTTGGGACAAGCCCGATTGTTTATGTCCACCGGACAGCTGATTGTGGGGCAACCACCGTCTTGAGGCGCGATGGTGACCGGTAAATTGAAGCCGTCAACCAGACTGATATCGTAGAAATCTTTCCCGTCAGCCCCTCGGAGGGTGAATTCCGCCAGAGTAGCCGGTGGTATTCCGCCTCTGCCGCCGCATTCGATCTGGTTGGACCCGCAATCACCACTTTTGCAACTGAATTTCCCATCTGAATTTGAACAAACGAATCGGGCCCAAAATCGTCCGGACCAGTTGGGGGCTGTGTCGATGGCCCTCGATGCTCCAGAGGCGAGTTCAAATCCAGTTATTATTTGTGGGCCGCTGCTGGTTAGTGATGCTGGCCATATTGTATACGGGCAATGGTTAATGATTGTGAACCTTGTTGAAAATGCACCTGCAATAGCCATTAGCAATCCGATTCAGTCTTTTCACTGTTCTTTCTGTTTCGAAATAATAAAAATCTTACAAATTAGGTTTTGATCCTGATTTTGAGGAGGACGGAGTGATTGATATCAAAACAAAACAATTTAAAAAAATAAAAAAAAGGAGAATGACAAATGAAAAGAAGCAGAGAATCTTACTATAGAAGAAGAAAAACAAGAAATGAAGAGGAAGGAAAATTTTGATCCCCATAACAGATTTGTGACACTTATAAATTAGCTGTTGAACAAAAAATAAAAATGTGCTTTTAAAGATTTCTTGGAGAAAAAAGTAAAGAGTGTGAGCACTTAATAAATGCCTTGAATTTGGGTAATCTCTCTTGTCTCCTTTTCTTCCTCATTATCGTTCATATCAATGGTAAGTATAATTCTCGATCAGATCTTCATAACGTTTTTGCAAATAATATCATTAACTGATGGATTGCAAAAAAGCAATACGATTCAATCCACGTAGCAGTATCTGTAACTTGCAACATATAGTTTTTCTCGCAGATCATTTTCAATTTTTTAAATGATTATAGATAGAAAAGACATAAATAGTAGTACTAGTTAGTAATTACGTTGTTGCTCAGTGAAGATTATGTTAGTGACTTGTCTTGCGTTAAGCACTGGGATAAGGCCAATCACAATGTGTTTAATCAGTTTTTTTGTTGTAGACTCTATAGATAAGGACTACTTTATTACACAAAGTATGACACGTGAGTGACATTTGTGTGAAACTAATCAACATACGGTTTCCTCTTTTAACGTCAATAGCGAATCCATATATAATCAGCAATAATATTTCTCAAACATATTTCATATTTGTGAGCCCAACGTTCAAATTTGTCTATGACAACCTAGTTCATATATCGAGATCGATTTTGGAGGACGTAATATAACGTGTTCTTATGCCCTGAATTTTCATGTTGGGATTCATTTTATTTATACGCGAAGTTATTGGAGACAATGGTCATGTCATGTTCTATAATTGTTACATACAAATCGTTTTTAGGCCATATCCGGCCGGGGTACCAATACCATTTTGGCATTTTCAACAAAAAAGTTTGCAGTTTTCTTCGGTACCAACGTTTCTTTTTTTTTTTATATATACCGGAGAAGTCGAAGTTTAAGTATACAAAAGCGACTCTGTTGCGCTGGAGCCGACTCGGGACAATCTAATAAAAGTTTTTCGGAAGTTTCCGAGAGTAGTGTAGACAAAATATATAATCCCGGATTCCGAGAAAGGCCTAATTTAGCTAATCAGCCGATTCATTTCCATCTCTACTTATACGTTTCTTGAAATTTGACAGTTTCCGAAATCCGAACGAGACTCCGAAGTGGTATCATTCCATGAATGGGCCTGCAAGGCTGCAACAGCATCTGACATTACCGTTTTGCCAAAAAACTCTACTGAGCAAGAAAATAGCCCACACAAGATTTGATGCTCGTGTACAAAACTTTGCTGAAAATCTGTTATTGGCCTGAATCCTAATCCTCAATTTGGCAATTTCCAATCTTTTCCTTTTATTACATGATGATTTAAACTAAAAAATGTCACATTAAAGAGAGAAGAGAGTTGACTTGTAGCCAACAAAATTAATAAAAAAAAGAAAATCAAAATAAAAATATAGAAAAGTAAACCAAAACGGAGACAAACACCGAGGCACGTCAGACAGAAGAATTTGCAATTTTTGAAGTAGTTAAGTGGGGGAGAACAGAGGAAGAACAACAGAGTGAAGAGAAATGGAGAACTTTGCCGAACTCAAAGAAGCGATAGAGAGAGTTGAGTTAGTTGATGCCCATGCCCACAATATTGTCTCTTTGGATTCCAACTTGTCTTTCCTTTCTTGCTTCTCTGAAGCCACCGGCGAGGAAGCTTTATCCTTTGTTCCCCACACCATCAGCTTCAAGGTTCCAAGACTTTTAATATGAATCTTTATTTGTACCCTTTATACTTTCTCAATCGTGTAACTTGTACTCAGAAAACTAATACTGGGTTCTGCTAAAGTTGTGTTTTTGATTTGGATTTTGGACTAAACTTGTGATATTGTCAATGCTGGCAATAAACTTTAATGGGTTGCCTTTTTTTTTTTTTTCCTTTTTCTAGAGGAGCATAAGAGAAATTTCTCACTTATATGGCTGTGAGCCATCATTGGATGGTGTTGAAAAGTTCCGCCGCTTATCTGGATTGGAATCGATTACTGAAACTTGCTTCAAGGCTTCACGGATATCCGTTTTGCTCATCGATGATGGACTGGAGCTGGACAAGAAAGTTGATATTGAGTGGCATAAAAACTTTGTTCCTTCTGTGGGTAGATTATTGAGAATCGAGCGTTTAGCTGAAAAGATTCTCGATGAGGTGAGAATTTGTTCTTGAAACGACCATGATAGTGATTCCAATTTCTTTTTCTTTTTGGTGAACATTATATTGAGTGATTAATTTGCCTTAGGAAAAACCAGCAGGAGCTAATTGGACGTTGGACTCTTTCACTTCTACATTTGTGGAGAAGTTGAAGTTATATCCTTTCAATAATAGCATTTTCAGATTTCTTACCTGAGCTTTTTTTTTTTTTTTCCATTTGAACATGGACTTCTTTTAAATTCCTTATCCTTCATTACATTATCTGAAGAAGTTGTCGGCTATAAGAGCATTGCTGCTTACCGTTCTGGCCTGGATATCAACACTAAAGTCACCATGTTGGAGGCTGAGAATGGCCTCCATGATGTTCTACAAGGTTAGCCTAAATAAAGTTGTGTACTGTGGCATATTTCTGAAATCAGAACTTATTCGGTTATATTGTTTTTTTTTTCAGGTGGAAGTCCCATCCGCATTACAAATAAGAACTTCATTGATCATGTTTTTACATGCGCATTGGAGGTAGCACTAATTTTTGACTTGCCAATACAGATACACACAGGGTAAGTGAATTCAACGGCTAATGTTCTGCAAAATATTTTATATATTGGATCATCCTATGATTTTTGTTGTTACAGATTGTTTTATGATGCTGAACTAGGATACCAAAGATTTGTTTCATTATTCAATCATATCAAGTTGTGAGGAGGATGCGCGAATTCTCTGTTGCATTCCACTTGGGGTATTTTCTGATTTGTTGAATTCCACTAACCATTGATGGCAGTTTTGGAGATAAAGATCTTGATTTGAGACTTGCCAATCCTCTTCATCTCCGCAATGTTCTTGAAGATAAGAGATTCAGCAAGTCACGCATAGTGCTTCTGCATGCATCTTATCCTTTTTCTAAAGAAGCATCATATCTGGCCTTAGTGTACCCTCAAGTAAGACCTAAAGCTCTCTTCTCCAGCCTACTCTTCTTTGGTTGCTCGTCTCCTGATAGAAGTGTTTTTTCATTCATAGGTGTATCTTGATTTTGGGCTGGCCATTCCTAAACTTAGTTTCCATGGGATGATGACTTCATTAAAGGAACTTTTGAGTCTTGCTCCAATACGAAAGGTGAATGTTGAGACTCTGCAAGAACGTATCCAACTCTTACTGTTACTACCATTGTCATTCTCATTTCTCACTGCTATTTGGCAGGTGATGTTTAGCACTGATGGCTATGCATTTCCCGAGACCTTTTTCCTAGGTGATGGTTTTAACTATTACCCTTGAAGCTTTGTAGCTCTAGTTGTTGGCTTGTAATTTTCTATAATGATCAACAATTTTTACCTACTGGCATTCATTTTTCAGTCTAGCCGCCTTTTCTATTTCAGTAGTGTGTCCTAAACCAAGAGAAAGCATTTACTTTGTGGGTTTTGTAAAATTTAATTTGAGTTTTATCTGCTATTTCTTCTCGCATCTGCTATATAAATAGTAAACTGTTTGATTTCAGGGGTTTAAAAAGCAGAAACAGCCTCTAATATAAGTGTAAGGTAAAATTGCCTCATTAGGCCCTAATGACCTGGCCGTTCCAAGATCCTGCATGAACGTATATAATTTGGGTTTCACTTTATATAGCTTGGACTTGGTTAAATAGTGGTCGAGGGAAGACTGTTACCATCTACAACTAATTATGCAGACATCAAAGAGGATAATGCAAATGAAGTGCAAATTATTCTGATATATGCTTTAAAATAATTTGAGCTACATTTCATTTACAGGTGCAAAGAAAGCACAAGAAGTTGTATTTGCTGTTTTACGTGACTTGTGTATGGAGGGTGATCTCTCAATTCAGGATGCTCTTTCAGCAGTCAAGGACATATTTTCCGAAAATGCGAAAGGATTTTACAAGATTAAAGTAGCTGAAATGCCAGTCGAGTCAGAAGCTTCATCTCCTTTCAGCCTGTTACCTGTGGAAAGCCCTACCCATAATTGTGATCTTACACTTGTGAGGATTATCTGGGTGGATGCTTCTGGGCAGCAAAGATGTCGGGTATGTCTCTCTTTTATTGTGGAGTTAATGTTTCTTATATCAAATTTTCCCGAACTGCTAAAAAAAGCCCTAAATTTTGTCAATCACTTTCTATCAGAATATTTTGGTATTTATTAATTCGTATCTGATTTCAGGTGGTTCCAGAGAAACGCTTCCATGATGTTGTGGTAAAGAATGGTGTTGGTCTAACTCACGCGTGTATGGCGATGACATCAGCTGTTGATGGTCCAGCTGATGGAACAAATCTGACTGGTGTTGGAGAGATTAGATTGATTCCTGATCTATCGACAAAATATAGAATCCCATGGTAGCACTTTTCCTGGGTCCCAATTAGTTTGCATTCTGATGCAAACTTTTTTAGTTAACCAGTTATTGGACAAAATTTAACTTTAGTTTATCTCTTACTTTTCAATTCTGATACAGGGCAAAGCAGCAGGAGATGGTTTTGGCTGATATGCATCTCACACCTGGTGAGGCATGGGAATATTGCCCAAGAGAAGCTCTAAGACGTGTCTCTAAAGTCTTGAAAGATGAGTTTAACTTGGTAGGTTTTGTAATATCTTATTTAATTCCGAAAATCATGTCTTGTTGCTGAGATTCCTGAAACTTTTATTCAGGTCATGAATGCTGGATTTGAAAATGAGTTTGTTCTGCTAAAGAATATCGCCAGGTGTTTTAGAGAACTTTTTTCGACAACTCTCTGCTCTTTGTCGCTTGCTCTTCCACTCCCTAATACTTTGTTCTCATGTCAATATCACTCATTGAGCACTCTCCAGGGAGGGAAAAGAAGAATGGGTGCCTTTTGACACAAGACCTTATTGCTCTACATCAGCATTTGATGAGGCTTTCCCAGTGTTGCATGAAGTGATAGCTTCCCTGCAATCTCTGAATATTTCAGCGGAACAGGTAAGGAGGAAATTCACCAAGTTGATGTTGTACTTGGATTACTAAGTTGATACTGTCATTATTTTGGGTTTATTTTAAGTTAAAAATGAAACTAAAAACCAAAGGACAAAGAATCAGAATCTAATAAAACAACCGTCGGACTAGATATCAGCCTAAAACATCATCACTTTCGATACTGAAGGCAACATTCCTGAGTGAAATTGCCAGATAATTCCGAAATTCAGAAGATTTAACTCAGTCATGTTCTTTAGATTTATTCTTTCTATGATACCTGTACATATTCAGGTATATGGTTGCTAATTCATGTCCTTTGTTTTGAATTATGATCTCAGTATGAATTTCAAGTAGGTACCTAAAATTTTGCTTCCTTTGATTCATACCCTAGGTACATGCGGAGGCTGGAAATGGTCAGTATGAAATTGCCTTGCAATATACGATATGCACCAAGGCAGCTGACAACTTAGTTTACACACGTGAAGTGATTAGGTCTGTGGCTAGAAGGCATGGGCTTCTGGCTACATTTGTGCCAAAGTAAGTGTTAAAGTTTTTGCAACTCTTACATGAAGTATATGTTTACCATTTGTCATTTGTCGGTGAGATTCTAAACATCATTTTTTATGCTTATTTAAAATGAGGGAAACATTATCATCCTTGGAGGAAAATTCTTTGCTGATATTTAGTTTCCTCATATCACATACATATATGGTTTTTGCCAATTAAAGTTTCATTCTAAAGTCTTCTTGAACTTTGTCCCCTATTAGTTTGTTCTGTTGAATTATCGGGTGAAAGTATAAGGACCAATAGGCAATAATCTTAATGGTAAAGCTTCAATGTCCCTCTTTGTTTTTCAGGTATGCATTGGATGATATTGGATCTGGCAACCATGTTCATATAAGTTTATCTGAGAATGGGAAAAATGTGTTTATGGCAAACGATGAATCAGCTGAGCATGGGATGTCCAAAGTTGGAGAGGAATTTATGGCTGGGGTCTTAGATCATCTTCCTTCCATTTTGGTATTTACAGCCCCAATTCCAAACAGGTCTCCCCCTATTTCACAAGCTAAATTCTGTAGTTTCTTTCGAGCATTATTCATGAGAGTGCTTACAACTGATGTGACTGTTATTAAAGGTGAAAAGTTTTGGACTTGGTCTTTGTGAAACATGTGTCTATTTCCAATTGCTTGCAGCTATGACCGCATACAGCCTAACACATGGAGTGGAGCATACTTATGCTGGGGAAAAGAAAATCGGGAGGCTCCACTGAGAACTGCATGCCCTCCTGGTGTTCCTAATGGTGCAGTCAGCAACTTTGAAATTAAAGTTTGTGATGGATGTTCTAATCCATATTTGGCATTGGCTTCTATTATCATTGCTGGCATTGATGGTCTTCGCCAGCATCTAAGTCTTCCTAAACCCGTTGGTGAGACTACGTTATAGTTAGATATGTGAATTGGATACATGCATGTGATCATAGTGATCACTTCCTTAACTGTTTCATTTTGTCGTAAATGGCAGTTATTCTGCAAAGATGTTCTTACTCCTAATGTTTTGTACAAAATAGATGAAAATCCTGACAACCGTAAAGAAGAAATTCAGAGATTGCCAAAATCTCTCTCAGAATCTCTAGAAGCTCTTGAGAAGGACACGCTAATGCACGAGTTGATGGGTGAAAAGCTCTTGACTGCAATTAAAGGGGTGAGAAAGGTATGTATTGCTGCAGATCTTGTGTTCTTATTCTTTTAGTTTGTTTGAAGGCCTCCAACATAGCCGTATTTTCTCAAGAAAAGTGTAGTAAAAATGATGAAACTTACCACTAAGTTGTATTATAGATTCATTAATCTTTCTAGGAAAATCTTTACTCAGGAAACTATTTTATACATGAGAAATTTCCGTGTTTTTGCAGGCCGAGATAAAATACTACGCTGAAAACAAGGACGCATACAGGAAAATGATACACAGATACTAAGTAAGATCAACTGTTTACTTAAAAGTTACTGTCGATGAAGGACCACGGAATAAGCTTCATCACCTTTTAAAATTGCAACATTGGTAGTGTTTCTACCATTCTATATTGTTGCTTTTGGTTTTTCCCAGTCTTTAGTCTTTATTAACGTCATGGCGCAATATTCATACTTACGGTTACGGACGAGATCACCTTGTTTTTGGGGCCAAGTTTTGGGTTCACAAGGTAAATACTGAGTTGACTTTTTTGGGCAATGATTAATGATTGTGAAGCTTGTTGAAAATGCACCTGCAATAGCCATTAGCAATCCGATTCAGTCGTTTCACTGCTCTTTCTGTTCAGAAATAAAAATAAAATCATACGAATTAGGTTCTGATTTTGAGCAGGACAGAGTCATTGTTATCAAAACAATTAAAAATAAAAATAAAAAAAAAGGAGAATGACAAAGGAAAAGAAGCAGAGAATCTTACTATAGAAGAAGAAAAACAAGAAGTGAAGAGGAAGGAAAATTTTGATCCCCATAACAGATTTGTGACACTTATAAATTAGCTGTTGAACAAAAAATAAAAATGTGCTTTTAAAGATTTCTTGGAGAAAAAAATAAAGAGTGTGAGCACTTAATAAATGCCTTGAATTTGGGTAATCTCTGTTGTCTCCTTTTCTTCCTCATTATCGTTCATATCAATGGTGAGTAATAATTCTCGATCAGATCTTCATAAAATTTTTGCAAATAATATCATTAACTAACTGATTACAAAAAAAGAAATACGATTAAATGCACGTAAGCAGTATCTGTAACTTGCAACATATATAGTTTTTCTCGCAGATCATTTTCAAGTTTTTAAATGATTATAGAAAAGAAACAAATAGTAGTACTAATTAGCAATTACGTTGTTGATCAATCTGAAGATTTTGTTGTCACTTGTCGTCTTACGTTAATCACTGGGATAAGGCCAATCACAATGTGTTTAATTAATGTTTTGTTGTAGACTCTATAGATAAGGACTACTTTATTATACAAAGTATGACACGTGAGTGACATTTGTGTGAAACTAATCAACATACGGTTTCCTCTTTTAACGTCAATAGCGACTGCAGATATAATCAGCAATAATATTTCACATTCTTATGTCCTGAATTTTCATGTTGGGATTCATTTTATGCGCGAAGTTATTGGACAATGGTCATGTTCTATATTTGTTAATCGTTTTTAGGCCATATCCATTTTGGGTACCAATACCATTTTGGCATTTTCAACAAAAAAGTTTGCCGTTTTCTTCGGTACCAACGTTTCTTGAAATTTCAGTTTCCGAAATCCGAACAAGACTTCGAAGTGGTCTAATTCCATGAATGGGCCTGCAAGGCTGCAACAGCATCCGACATTAACTTTGCCAAAAAACTCTACTGAGCAAGAAAATAGCCCACACAAGATTTGATGCTCGTGCATATAACTTTGCTGAAAATTTGTTATTTTGAGACAAGACTCCAATGCTCGTGTTATTTAACTGTATCTAAGCATTAACTTTTCATATATATATATATACTAGTGATGTCTGGTCGCGCAATGCGCGACCCTGGCCTAGTTTATCTGTAGATCTTAGAAATGTTTATATTTGAAAAAAATAAAATTTTGTATTTGGAGCGATATATTTTAGAAATGTTTGAAGGATTTAGAAATATTTTATAAGTGTGATCATAGAAATATTTGTATTTCGCAAAAAAAAAAAAAATTGTATTTCGCCATGTATGTTTTAGAAATGTTTTATAAGTGTTACTTATTAAATATAAATAGCTTAATCGAATATATGTGTTGAAGTAAATGTTAGATAAAATATAAAAGCATCCTAATAAATTTAAATATTAGTAAGATGATTTATTGATGTTCTCCTGCCAAATCAATACTTAGTTTTGGAGATTTTTAATAGCTTTGTAATAAGCTTCATCCAAAGGGTATACGCTTAAAACAAAATTGACACTTTGTAATAAAAAACCTAATTGATCAATTCAATTTAAAAAACCATTCTAGTTGAATGAAACATAAAGAAAAAAAAAAAACGTGTCACGTAAAGTGCAAAGGGAGATTTAGTAATTTAGTTATGGTTAGACAAAAGGGCAATTTAGTATTTTCCACATGCCACGTGGTAATCATATGAGGTGTTTGAAAGGGAGGTTTTTGTTTCTAATATAGTAAGATATATATATATATATATATATATATATAATCTGTTATTGGCCTAAATCCTAATCAGAATTTTGCAATTTCCAATCGTTTCCTTTTATTACATGATGATTATGGATAAAACATTAAACTAAAAAATGTCACATTAAAGAGAGAGAGAGTTGACTTATAGCCAACAAAATCCAAAAAAAAAAAAAATCAAAATTGAAAATATTGAAAAGTAAACCAAAATGGAGACAAACACCGAGGCACGTCAGATAGAAAAATTTGCAATTTTTTGAATTTTTTTTTAAATGGTACCTGTATATATTAGGTCGAAACGGCACCTACACTATTACACCGCATTTTAGCAAAAGCTAGATTATGTACTTCACTAACCTCTAATCTACTCACTTTAATCAGTGAACATGATTGAAAAACTAATTTAGTAGATCGAAGCAAGGATATAACTTCCTGAGCCTCAGTTGGAAGAAGAGTAATTGGATTGTCTAAAGTAAGAACTTCACAATCCGTATGCATTTGGACGCTTGTTAAACCTAAGCTTAAAGCGTCTTTCATGGCTAGTAAACACGTCATTGCCTCTACCTCTAGAGGAGACAGGACAGTGATAGCAACTGCCTTAAGTTGTAGCACCATGCCATGTGGTGAAATAATTTTCCAAGCTGCTGCTGCATGTCCTGTTTGCTGGCTATATGATCCATCAATGAGAATCACAGAATCAGAAGTGTGGCTTTGTGGAGAATCCTGAGATGTAGAATGAGTGGAGTTGGTAATTAGGGAGAAACTTTTCTTGAACTATTGAATAAGAGCCACATCTGACAAAATTAGACGCCATGAAATTGTCGGATCGGATGCTTGGTGGCGTCAAATCCGATCATTTCTGTCCAACCAGATGATCCAAATAATCAGAAGGAAGAGGTCAATCTCCTCCTTAAGTGGATGTTGATGAATCCAGTCTACAAACAAAGTGATTATAGAGTCATAGGTGAAGTTAAAGATAGATGCAAACCGGGGATATGCTAAGGACCAAACTTGGGAAGAGTCACAATGGAAGAATAAGTGAAGAGCCGTTTCCTCACTATGATCACAACGAGGGCAGAGGGGATCCACCATTATACCACGTTTTATGAGCTCAGTTCTGATAGGCAAGGCATCCAGTAACACTCTCCAAAGTAGGAATTTTTGTTTCGACTGAACACTTGAGTGCCACAAGTGTTTCCATGCCATTTTTTCGTTGAGTAAAATGTCTGGATTCTGTGTTAGTTGTGGGAGCAGTGCATTTGTAGCAAGTTGATAACCTTCTCGCACTGTATAGCTGCCATGTGATGTAGAAGTCCATTGAATGGCATCTGGTTGATTTCTCCTGTCAGGATCGACAAAGATTCCCACAATTCTGGAGATGATGTGATCCGGGAAAAACCGGCGCAAAGCATGAACTCTCCATTGTCCATTGGGGTAAATAAACTGGGCTACTTTGAGATTTGAAGCTGCCAGAACTAAATTAGGACTGATTGGATTAAGCACACCTGGAATCCAATCGGCCGCTAAAGGGATATCATTTCCTGATACAACCTTCCATTTGATCTGGTCCTGGATAAGTTCTGTACCCCATAAAATAATTTTGAAGCCCCGAGAAGAAGTAGAGGGTGGATTTATTGGTGGAAAAACACCGTTATTACAATATTTAGCTCTAAAAAGACGTCCCATCAGTGAATTCGGGTGTGACATCAATTTCCATGCATGTTTGGCCAATAGGGCCCTGTTGAATTCCTTGGTCGCCTTTAGGCCTAAACCACCATGGAATGTTGATCGCGCCATTTTTTTCAAGAATGCCAATGGATTTTCCGGTCCTGTGAATCTCCTTTCCAGATGAAAGAGTCCATAATTTGGTCGGCCTTCGTCAGGGTTTTAGCTGGCAGGCGAAAAACTCTCATTGGATAAATCATCATAGAAGAAAGAGTGGCCTTAGCTAACGTTACCCTCCCTGATAAAGTTAACATCTTCGTTTTCCAGGAGGCAAATTTACTACTCATGCGAGATGTAAATTGCGAAAAAATTGCCGTCTTTCTTTTTGAAAAATCTAGGGTCATACCTAAATACTTACTATGGAATTGCCCCATTGGTATTTACAGAGTGGCATGAATGAAGGCATTTATTTCCTTATTAGTATTAGGACTAAGAAGGATTGAAGATTTTTTGAAATTAATGCGTTGCGCGGAAAAGGAAGCATAATTTTCCAAAAGTCCTGTCAATGCCAAGATGGATGATTCTCTACATTCTAGGAAAAAAGACTATCATCCGCATACATTAAGTGACTAATGCGGGGAGCAAGATGGCAAATTTTAATACCCAAACCTGGAAACAAGGAGATTTCTAACTTGATTGCCGATGATAGCACCTGCTGGCACAAAATGAACAAATATGGTGATTACGGACAACCTTGTCTTAATCCTTTATTTGGGGAGAAAGGTTGCAAATTATCACCATTGAATAGTATGGAGGAGGAAACGGAGGAGACACAATGCATGATTAAGGCGATGATTCTATGAGGAAAATTGGCTTTGTGTAGAACCGCCTGCAAAAATGACCAAGAAACCCGATCATAAGCTTTATTCATGTCAAGCTTTACAGCTGCTAAGCCAGTAGATCCCTGTTTCTTCCTAATACACTCCACAACTTCATGAGCAATGAGTATATTTTCACTGATGTTTCGGCCTGGTACAAATCCATTGATTTTCATCAATCAAGTCATTCATCATCACTTTGAGACAATTGGTTAGCATTTTGGTAATAATTTTGTATTTTACATTACAGAGGCTGATAGGTCTATAATCATTTGAAGTCGTTGGCGAAGAGACCTTTGGAATAAGGGCCAGTCGAGTGTGATTCCATTCAGGTGGAAATGAGAGCAAATGGAACACCTCCAAGATTGAATCTTGGACGTCCTGACCAATGACATCTTTATAGTGTTGATAAAAACCCGCCGGCATGCCATCAGGCCCTGGAGATTTCCAGGGAGCCATTTGTTTAAGGGCACATTAGACCTCGTTTGCTGTAAAAGGAGCATCCAAAGCAGTGGCTTGTTCAGCAGTTAAGACTTCCTCAACATTGGTTAATAAGCTATGAAAGTGACTGGAAGAAGAGCCATTTTGAGATGCAGTGTCAGTGGCAGTATAAATGGCAGATAAGTGAGCCTGTATCATAGCTTTTAAAGAGTCAGCATCTTGAATCCAATTGCAATGAGTATCTTGAAGCTCATTGATCCAAGTATTGCCTTTACGCCTTGATGCCCATTTATGGAAGAACTTCGTATTGCTATTTCCAAATTGGTGCCAATTCAACTTTGCCTGTTGATGCCAATACTCTTGTTGCAATAGAAGAGCTTCCTCTAAATCAAATCGGCATTTTTCAAGGCGATTGATCAAAATGATATCATCCTTGTGAGTCTCCCATTGATTTTGAGCTGTGGCTAATTCTGCAGTCAGCTTGAAGACTAGTTGATCTAGATTGCCAAATCGTGCTTGACTCCAATTGTGCAGCTGATGTAAGGTCTTATGAAGTTTGAAAGAGAGACCATGTTGTATCAGCAAAGGATAAAGGGGGTTGTGACCAGGCTTGTTGGACTAGGTGTTTGGATGTGGCACAACGTGACCAAAATTGTTCAAATCTAGGAGTCTTTTTTGGTGACTTTTTTTGTTTTAGTTCTACCAAAATTGGTCCACGATCTGAACTCATTATTGGCAAATTTCGAATGAATGCCTTCTTGAAAGTATCTACCGTAGCTTGTTGACAAAAGCACGGTCTAATCTTTCAAAAATCTATGCATGACCTTGACGGTTATTCGTCCAAGTGTACCAGTAGCTAAGATGCTTCAATTCTTTAATATCATTGTTGTTTAGTAATTGACGTATAGCCTGAGTATCTTGAGATCCAACTTTTCGCCCTCCATATTTATCCTCCTGATCTAGAATCTGATTAAAATCACCTAATATAATATTTAGGATACGGAAAACCTTGAATAATGCCATTTAACTGTAACCAAAAATCGGTCCTATCTTGGACAGTGAGAAGACCATACAGAAATATGGCTAGCCATTCAAGGCATGAACATTCACGAACCTTTGCAACTATTACATTAGAGCTTTGATAAAGGAGACTTAGATTAATACTAGAAGTCCAAAGAAGGGCTAGTCCCCCACTGGAACCAACAGGATCAATTACAACAGAATCCACAAAAGATGTGGACTGTTGCCAAGTGAAAATATGATTCGTATTGGCTTTAGTCTCCATTATAAACAAAATACCAGGATTATAAGTTCTTAAAAGCCTACTTAGTACATGCTTAGACGAGAAATTGTTCATGCCTCGGATGTTCCAACATAAAATACTCATAAAAACAGAGGCGATTGATCTGGTTCAACCACTGCAAAACCATTCAGCTTGGTATCTGCCTCCGAAAACACCTAGAGAGAATTCACTGCAACATCATTAGCAGACAGTCGGCATTGTCCTTGAGAAGGGCCAACCAGTAGTGACATATCTTGCATATGGGCAGCAGGAGCAATCTCCAAGTTAACCTCCATTGCCTCCATTTCTGGCAACATCCATGCAACTTCCAAATCCTGGAATAAAGCTTCCACCTCTATCTCAGCAGCATGACTAATTTTTCTCTTGCCTGGTCGGGTCAAACTGGCCTCAAAATCATCAGAGCTTCTTTTCCTACTGCTGACAAAGGTCTCAGAGGTTTCCGAAGGTTCTGAGGAATCAAAGTCACGTGTAAAATCATCATCATCAATCCGCATCCGCCAGCAAGCGTCACCGGGTGAACAATGGGGTGATCCAGCGAAAGTTGAGGGGACCGAGGTATATCAGCTTAAGACACTGCACTTCTGACACTTATAAATATCTCCCCTCCATCACTGTCAGACAACATCGCATCCTCTTGTACCTGTGACGGGGTAGAGCTAAAAGGGAAAATTTTGCAACGCCCTGTCTTTTTGAGAATGCTTTTACTTGACTTGGAGACTGAGATACCAGGGCTTTTCAAGTTACCAGACCTTGAGGAGCTTCCAGAACAAGTAGAAGCAGCACCTGTATTGATCCTAGTTCTACGAACTACTCTAACAGGGCTATGAAAACTATGATTTTCAGAGTCACTGACATCTGAGCTAGAAATCAAACCAGAGAATACAAAATTTGGAGATACAATATGGGTAAGGGTAGTCAGGAATAGTAGGGATCACAAAATCAAGAACATAAAAGGGCCCATCTAAAAGATTTCCAGTAGGGAGAGTTTCAGGAATTTCATAAAACGAAGAGGGCAGGTAAAATACAGAATCATCATTGGGGACAGAAGTATCAGAATTCTCAGCAGATGCAGATAAATAGGATGAAAGTGAGTGAAAACTGTCACCTTGGCTAGTAGTATTAGCAGAGGGATCCATTGCAGCAGCTGGAGCAGCCATCCTTGATGGATCAAAAGCAAAGTTTGGATCCAAATTCATCTGCCTATGTAAAGGGACAGGGGGGCCATTATCATCAACAAACTTGTCCGCATTTATTTCTGCCAGGTGGGTGTCATCATCCATACCATCAGGGCCATCAGGATCTTCATCATCACTGCCATCATCATCATCAGGATCTGAGTCATCATCAGCATCATTATCATCATTCTGATGACTATAATCAGGATGATGAAGGGACCACGGATACCAAGGTGTAGGAGCATCCTCTTCAAGTTCAGAAATTATAAAGCCATCTTGGATATAACCATCTGGCACAGAGTCATAAAAAGCAAGCATTTGCTCGACCTTATATTCAGACAGATGCGTACACCGTTTCTTTTTGTGTGCATGTGCCCAAATGGATCTAGTGAACAAGGGTTTGTTAACATCAATTAACAACAGAGAATCAAACTGAGCAGCCCGTGCAACAAAAAAATTGTTCAGAAAGGTGGTTAATGTATCATCCTCCATTAGATAACACTGTGTAAGAAGGTGACCTAGGCGGCCACATCTCTGGCAATACTTATGCATATTCTCAAACTTACAACGAATTTTAGCCATTTTGCCATTCCGTTTGCCATTCTATTGACAACATAAGGGCCATTATCCAGTATAGCCAGCATCTCAGATCTGTTCATAAACTTAAGGACAAAGAAATTCCTATCATAATGCAGTACCCGAACCGTTATCGGCCAATTGGTATTCATGTATTGCTGCATGCTCTGATCATCCACTTCCAGATCATCAATCAAGTAACCCAAGAGAGATAATTGCATATTGTGTCGGGACAATTGGGTATGATAATCAGTAAGTTGCATGTTACTAGAACGAAGAAAGGGGCGAGGGATTAAATGTAGATCATGGTCAATCACAGAGCGAAGGTCATGTTCCTTTTCTGAAAAGTTGGAACCTTGAAGAGACATAGCAGTGACTGAATTTTCATCCATTGCATGTCGGTAATTCATCTTGGAAAAGGATGATCTAACTTCAGATTGCAGAAAAACGAAAGGGCAAGGGAAGAACATGGTGGCAATGAAGTCTAGATCTAAGTTTTTTTTTTTTTTTTAAGAGTGAAACACCAAATAGAGGATCAGGAATAGAGAATGTTTGAGCGAGAATTTATGAGATGAAGACAAACGACTGTAATTAGCAAAGAGCCAAGAGTAGTTCAGAAAAGAAAGGAATATGAACATAGAGGAATTGGAAAGGAATAAAACCAAAAGGCAGAAGCCTTTATGACTGAAGTTTGGGAAGTATAATGTGTTCTAGAAAAGGAAAAGATTTGGTAGGCTCAAGAAAGGAAGGCAAGCAATTTTGATAACCGCGATAGCTTATAAAAGAGGAGATCGGAAAACGAAAGGAAGACATATTGAAACATTAAATTAATTGTGACTTGACTACAAAGTGCATGGCTGCCAAATGGCAACCAATGACAGAATCCAATACCAAGTCTGGTTTACAAAACCTAGTGCTAATGCAAGGGTGGGAAAAGAAATACTAATAGCATTGCTAGGAAAAGAATTCTGATAGAGTGTGAATTACTATGAAATAATAGGATGAACTAGGAAAAAGAAAAGAGTGAATAAAAGTTGGAGATGAAAATATTATCGTAAAGGTGTTTTCCTCCTTCGGGAAAAGACTAAAATGTCCAAATGGTCCTTACATTTGGGCCTACTTGAATTTACGTCTCTTACATTAACATTTCAATATCGTAGTCCCAAACATTGTGATTTTACACTTTGTTGGTCCCATTTTACTGTTTCCGACCGTTGACATGCCGGAATTAGGGGTATTTTTGTCTTTTAATTTAATTTAAATTTTTATTAAAATTTAAATTATTAAAAATATTTTAAAATTCAAATTTCATTATTTAATTGTTAAAATATTAATTATTAATTAAAAATATTATTGTGCAATTTTAAAATTTATCATTATTTTCAAAATTACTTTTTTTATTTACTATTTACTTTAAGTACACAGTAAATAGTAATTATGTTGCACTTTTAACTTTGGGGTCACTGTAACTTAAACATTAACAATTAAAAATATTTTTGTACAATTTTAAAATTTATCATTATTTTCAAAATTACTTTTTTTATTTACTATTTACTTTAAGTACACAGTAAATAGTAATTATGTTGCACTTTTAACTTTGGGGCCACTATAACTTAAACATTAACCAAGTTACATCAATAAACAATTCAAAATTCAATTTTTTTTAAAAAAATAAAAATAAAAAGCAAAACTAAGATTTTTTACTCTGACCGCTACAGTAAACCCTAAATGGTAATTATGTTACACTTTTAACCTTGTACCCGCTGCAACTTTACTGTAACTCAAAAAATATACCGAGTTACAGTAAATAATTCAAATTTTTTTTTTAAAAAAAGAAAAAACAAAACCAAGATTTTTTTTACTTTGACCGCTACAGTAAACCCTAAATGGTAATTATAATACACTTTTAACCTTGGACTCACTGTGACTTAAAAAATTTACCGAGTTACAGTAAATAATTCAAAATTCAATTTTTTTTAAAAAAAAAGAAAAGGCAAAACCATGATTTTTTTTACTCTGACCGCTATAGTAAACCCTAAATGGTAATTATGTTACACTTTTAACCTTGGACCCACTGTAACTTAAAAAATTTACCGAGTTACAATAAATAATTCAAAATTCAATTTTTTTTCAAAAAAAAGGAAAAACCAAGATTTTTTTTACTCTGATCGCTACGTTGTTTTTTTAACGTTGGACCTACAATAACTTAAGAAATTGATCGAGTTACAATAAATAATTCAAACTTTAATTCTTTTTCTTCAAAAAAAGAAAAAAGTAAAACAAAGTAATTGACCGCTACAGTAAACCCTTATGTTGCACTTTTAACCTTGGACCCAATGTAACTTAAAAAATTTACCGAGTTACAGTAAATAATTTAAAATTCAACTGTAGCAATCAAAGTAAAAAAAAATCTTTGTTTTGCTTTTTCCTTTTTTTTTTAAAAAAATGAATTTTAAATTATTTACTGTAACTCGGTAAATTTTTTAAGTTACAGTGGGTCCAAGGTTAAAAGTGCAACATAATTACCATTTACTTTGACCTAAGATAAATGATAAACGAAAAAATTAATTTTGAAAATAATATAAATTTTAAAATTTTATAATAATATTTTTCATTAATAAATAATATTTTAACAATTAAATAATGAAATCTAAATTTTAAAATATTTTTAATGATTTAAATTTTTATTAAAATTTAAATTAAATTAAAAGACAAAAATACCCCTGATTCCGGAATGTCGACAGCCAGAAATAGTAAAATGGGATCAAAAAAGTATGAAAACATAATATTTGGGACTACGATATTGAAATGTTAATGTAAGGGACGTAAATTCAAGTAGACCCAAATTCAAGAGTATATTTGGACATTTTAGTCTTGGGAAAATAAACAAGACATTCTCTCTCTATAATTTGAAGGGAGAAGGACGACCAATCATCAATTTGGATGGATGGTTTTGAGTTATCTGTGATTTCGTATCAAACACTTTTTGAAGTTGTGAAGTGGGGAAGAACAGAGGAAGAACAACAGAGTGAAGAGAAATGGAGAACTTTGCTGAACTCAAAGAAGCGATCGAGAGAGTTGAGTTAGTCGATGCCCATGCCCACAATATTGTCTCCTTGGATTCCAACTTGTCTTTCCTTTCTTGCTTCTCTGAAGCCACCGGCGAGGAAGCTTTATCCTTTGTTCCCCACACCATCAGCTTCAAGGTGCTAAGACTTTTACTATGAATTTTTACTGTACCCTTTTCACTTTCTCGATCTGGGTTCTGCTAAAGTTGTGTTTTTTATTTGATTTTTGGACTAAACTTGTGATATTGTCAATGCTGGCAATAAACTTTCATGGGTTGCCTTTTTTTATTTTGTTAGAGGAGCATAAGGGAAATTTCTCACCTATATGGCTGTGAGCCATCATTGGATGGTGTTGAAAAGTTCCGCCGCTTATCTGGATTGGAATCGATTACTGAAACTTGCTTCAAGGCTTCACGGATATCCGTTTTGCTCATCGATGATGGACTGGAGCTGGACAAGAAAGTTGATATTGAGTGGCATAAAAACTTTGTTCCGTCTGTGGGTAGATTATTGAGAATCGAGCGTTTAGCTGAAAAGATTCTCGATGAGGTGAGACTTTGTTCTTCAAACGACCATGATAGTGATTCCAATTTCTTTTTCTTTTTGGCGAACATTATATTGAGTGATTAATTTGCCTAATGTTATAGGAGAAACCAGCAGGAGCTAATTGGACGTTGGACTCTTTCACTTCTACATTTGTGGAGAAGTTGAAGTTATATCCTTTCAATAATAGCATTTTCAGATTCTTACCTGAGCTTTTTGTTTGAGGGAACCTCAAAACAAGTCATCAATCTTTAATATATTTTCACTTTAGATCATCAATTAAATTTATTTGTAGCACAGATTACCTTACTAAAGTTTTAATCATTTAGATCATTCTGTTAATTTTGGCCGTTAAATAGTGACGGAAATCCATTTTTCACATGCTTTTTGGGTTCAGGGGTATTTTTGTCATTTTATTATTATTTTTTTAATTTTTTAAATCTTTTTAAATTTTTTATTTTTACAATTCTTCTTCTTATACTTCCTAACTTGTATACACTGGTTGTACAATTCTAAATTTTAAAGTTTTATTTTCCTTTTGTATTTTAACTTCTAGATTATAAAAATCTTTTTTAAAAAAAATTTAAGAAATGAAGAAGAAAAATTCGAGTTAAAGTAAATATGGAAATTAATAATTTAACATTTTAAACAAAAGAAAAACTAAAAATTAGCTAAGACAAGTTATTTCTTCTAGGTTATTTAATTTTTTTTTTCGATTGAATTATTTAATTATTAATTTTCACGTTTCTTATTCCTTTTTGTAATCTAGAAGTTAAGATACAAATGAAAAATAAATTCATTTTGAAAATTAATTTTTATTTGTATATTAACTTG